ACAGAGATAATAAAGCAGGCTTTAAAAGAGCAAGATTATGCATTGGCTGAAAAATCCTACAATGGCAGCTGACACGGATGGTCACCCTCTCATTTTGCTCTGAACGATGTGTTCTACTAACCTGACTCCGCCAGAAACCTTCCGTTGAAGTAATTTTGGGAAGGGGGCGAAAACACTGGTTAGCTGATTGGCCTATGTTGGTGTTAGACGGGCCAAATAAACCAATCAGATCAACGAAGCATATGACGTAACAGTGCGACGACGAAAACACAACCACAAGCCAGGCTACTCTTGCAGAAACCAGTCGGGAGAAGAGCAAAAACATCTTTTCCTCTGAGAAAAGCCTCCAGAGCAGTGTTTTGCTCTTCTTTCAGTGAAGAAATACTCTGTAATTCCGATAAAACTTGCTCGATAGCCACGCTAACGCTAGTTTCATCGGCTGAAGCCGCTATGTTTTTTTAGACTGAACTGTCGCAATTCTCGTTGCGTCACACCTCGACCCGCCTCAAAGCCAACGCTGATTGGACGTTCGTTTGGTGAACGGCTCCAAATTTTCTTTAACGGAGAGTCTCCAGACTGATTTGCGAGTGAAACCTTGAAAGCTCGCGAGATCATGATGGTCTCACGAGGCTAGTGTTCTACCAGGGGAACAGCAAAGGCCAGAGAGAGGTACTAAGAAAACTGAAGCTGGTGCCTGAGCTTGCTGGTCTTATCAACAGCCAGTGTGTGGAGCAGCACAACTACTTTTTGAATATGTTTATCCCCTCAACACAAATGTTTCTACAAAGAAATATACTATATCATTACAATATTGCTGATGAAAGAGCAATATAGTAGGATTGTTCCCTCTAATATTGCATGGAAGGCTACGTTTTAGGTATGCTCTTTGTTATCTTCATACACTTTAGATAATAATGCATTTATTCTTTATATATGCAGCGTATTCCCCGTTAGCAGGGTTGACCATCAGGTTTGACTGGCAACTGCAAAGAAAGAGACAATTGCCAAGAGTGAGTCATTGTTATGATTTATATCTGATTCAATGAAGAAGTGTTATATTTCAGACTTATTTTTTTTTTCATTTTGCTGTTTCACTAGTAAATGGTTATTGTGAGCAGAGACCAGTTAAAAACTTAACAAGTTTCCATGGATTATGAGCGCACAGAACACAGAGACAGAATCTCTGAGACAACAAGGAAAAACTGGTAAAGTCGAACATTGTACTTCTGTGGAAATGGCAGATATAATTTAAAACATCATTTAACCTCTTAAAACCCACCTCATTTTGGAAAATTCTTTTTATTTTCTTACACTATCTTTCACAGGTCTTGGATGACCAAAAGTCCCACTCAGCACATTGCAATGATGAACAACATCATCCTGAATCACTCTGACTTTTGGAGTCTGGGTTTGGATCGGTACATGGATGGGATGGTAGGTATAGAGCAGGGGTCTTCAACGTTTTCAAAGCCAAGGACCCCCAAACTGATTGCGAGATGGAGCGGGGACCCCTAATTATATATATTGTATGAAATTGTGTTATATCAAACTGGTCCTATAGTCACTCTATTACATATGGAGTCATGTAACTAAAGTAATTTCTCCCTGGGATTATTAAAGTATTTCTAATTCTGATTCCTCGTTGATGGGACAGGTGTTGTGAATGAAACGGTGCCCAGGTTTGAAAGAGCTCCTGTGTGTCGCTGAATGTGTGAATTGATGACTGAAAGACATCTTCTGCCTCCATTTATCAGTTTACTACAGTGTGTTGAATTCATGTTAATGTGTATTTAAAGACATTTTAATTAGTGCAAAAAATTGCAGGAGGGAATATTAAAAAAAGTAATCAACCAAGACTTTCGCGACCCCCATGCAGTACTTTCGCGGACTCCCTGGGGGTCGTGGACCCCCTGTTGAAGACCTCTGGTATAGAGAATATGCTCTGCTAGCTTTATGTAATGCTTTTAAAAATATTTTCTTAACTAGTGCTTATTGGATCCTGAACTTTTGTCTTCCTCTTTTAAACTTTTCACTCAAATGGATTGGAGAATATATTTCAATACTCATAATATTTTGATGATAACAACTGGGCATGGGGGGGGGACATGTCATGTCCTGCACATTTTACTTCCCAAAAACAATGTTACACTACCGTACACAGACATTCGTCGAGCAATATGACCATGCGAAAAAAAAAGCTGCTCAAGCTAAAGCCAGCTTTCTTGATTTTAGGCCCCGTCCACACGAAGTCAAAACGAACACGAAACGCTGATATTTTCCAAAACGTTTGCCGTAAAGACGGAGATGTAAAATAAATGTGATCGTCCACACGAATGCATGAAAACGCTGCAAAATGCATGCCAGGCCTGTAAGTGGCGCTGTGGTGCCAAAGCAAAAATATGCGACAAAATGTTGGGCATGCGCACTAACATTTATACATGTTTGCCCTGCGGGCCCATTTTCGTGGTTAAGTCAAATTCAGGTGCTGAACTATGTCGTCGATATTGCTCTGTTCTTCCTGGAGATATTCCAGAAGAAGAAGATTCTGTTGTAAGCCCGACAGCAGGGTGAGTAGCATTAGCAGCAACGGCGCCATTGTTGTTGTGATGTGTCGCGCATGCATGTTTAGAGGCGACGCTATGACGCATGCGTGTAAAAAAAAAAATATGCGGTTAGAGCGTAAAGATGGAAACGCGAAAACGGCGTTTCAGAATCTTCCCACTCTTAAGGCTGAATAAAAAAAATATCGTTTACAGACCCCCGAAACGCCGGCTTTGTATGGATGAGAGGCTGGTTTGGTGAAAAATTTGTGCGTTTAGGCCAGGGTTCGTCTTCGTGTGGACGGGGCCTTAGACAGCTCAAAAGTTCCTGATTGGCCCGCCATCTTTTCTTGTGTGATTGGCTGTCAGCACTGTCACTCTTGAGAAGCTCACCTTCCAAACATCTGATGCGCCACTGAATCAGGTCTGTGATTGGATGGTCACAGCACTGAAGTTGGTTAGATTAAAAGATAGTTGCAATCCCCCACACTGGAAAAATCGAAATCTAGATAAGTCTTTTGTTTTTTTTAATAAGTGCATTTTTTCTTGGATTGAGGAGGTAAAAGAGACATTTTGCCAGTGACACAAGAAGATTTACACTTAAAATAAGAAAACACAATTGCATTGTCTTTTTTCAAGTGCATATTATCTAATTATCCTTTTTTAAGAGTAAAAATACTCATTCCATTGGCAAACTATCTCATTTACATACTCAAATTAAGGGTTAATACACCTAATTTAAGACATACTCTGGATCATTTTTCCAGTGCACTTCTGAAATCAATATTTCATCCCTGCTGCCCCCTGGTTCCCACCCACACTAATGCACCCATGAATCATCTGCCAGTAAATTGTGAAGAAGTTTTGCTTTTGCAAATACATTTTTGACTATTTCATATTCAGCTATTAATGCCTTTTTACAGGACAATGCAGCAAGTCTACAATGGATTCTTATTCCAGTATTCGTAGTTGGACATTGGCACTCTTTGTTAATACATTCATATTTTCCCCCATTATTTCCTCAAGAAATTTGTAATTTATTTGTGATTTCAATTTTTTTAATCTAACTAAATACATGAAAACTAGTATGCTATATTACAGAAATGTTTAATAACTTAATGTTTTTATTAATAAACACATTTGACAGATACTGAGGGGACAGGATAGGATTTTTTTTTTCTTGATCCGCTCTGGCAGCGGCTGGAGAGATGAGCGTAGAACCCATCTATTCAGGTTTCTACTTTTCACCACTGTTGAGAAAATACATTTTAAATAATCTAGTCTTGATTCAAATGGCCTAAATTGTGGTTTTAAATCAGTGACTTATTCTGGCCTGTTGACCTTTTTTTTGCCTGTGGCAGCAGCGGATGGTTTGCTAGGATCGTTTAAACTGCCTTTTGTCTGTGTCGTAAAACAATATAGTGGAAGTTCTGGCTTTTCACACTCATCTGTGAGAGGCCGTAAACACTGCAAGGGTTTTAGGCTTCAGATAAGGGGTCAGAGATAGCTCCTGGTTGGAGGAGCAAAGGTACGCCTTATTTGAATAAATTAAATACAAGAGGATAAAACTTTCTACACAGAAGTAACAAATCAGATTTGCTCTTGCAACTCTCCAAAGATGTCTTTGTACGTCTTTGCTTTCTTTCCTTCTCTCCATTTATGTCAGGTAAATCAATGTATGTCTCCGTTGTTCTGCAGTTTCTGGTGTAAGTTTGTGCATTGTTTTACTTCTAAATTTATGCATGGTCTTATATTGGATTAAACTCTGTAATTCTGTGACGTCAACAGGCATTGTTGTTTTCCTTGTGGCTACACGTGGCCGCCGAGAGGACCTGGGATCCAGAGGAAGAGAGAGAGCCAAACTTTTTCTCCAAAATTAACTTTTAGAAATTTCTTCCTTAACACCACCCAATCTGGAAAGTGGTAAGAGATTATACCACGATCCCCTTCCGTCAACGACCTGTCATATTTCATGATCATAAAAAAATATGATGACAGGTGCCCCACACAAAATAATTTATCATAATATATTTCGTTTATTTCAGTTTATTTATATAGCGCCAATTCACAACACATCATCTCAAGGCTCTTTACAGTTCAACCAGATCATCCAGTCAAATTGGTTCCAAGTTTTCTATCTAAGGAAAACCAGGAGTTGTTCATATTATAGAATATTTTTTAAAAGCTGATATCTGCATAAATGCATTTATTTAATTCAGATTAATTCAAAAAGACTTTATTAACTCCAAAGAGAAAATAAATGTTGAAGTAATGTTATTGTTTTTTTTTTGTTATATACAGAAACTACAACTTCTCCGGTTCAAACATTTGATCCCATCTAGATTAACCACTAAGTTAATAAAAGCTCCCCATATCTTCTCAGATAAATATCATTTAGATCTAATAAATGCTCTCCTCTCTAGCATTTCACAGCAGTGCAACAGATTTTTGTTTTTTTTCCTTTTTTATCTCAAAGTAATGGGAGAGAAATATGTACAGTTTCAGACTTTGGTGACGTTCCTGAGCGTGAGGCTGAAGTCAGCGTTTGGTTGATGTCCCTGGATGATTCCCCGAAGCTGGAAAAAACAAACATGTCAAACTTTTTGGGATTTTAATCCCATCTGGGTTATTTTTGTGAATAAAGTAATGTTTTACCTGCTTTAAGAGTAGAGCAAGCGTAGTTTCATTCAGCTCATGTTGGGATTTGATAGCTGTTTGAAAGAATATTATCACTGCAATAAAAACACAAGCAGCATGTAAAGGGAGACTTCAAGCATTGGTTTAGTTGGAAATCACTTTCACCCCTGTGTTCTAAATGTGTTGAAGGCAGGAATAGTGTCGCATTAATGGACTGAGCAAGATGCATGAAGAATGCGTCCTATCCAGAGTTGAAGAGGAGTCTATTGAGATGAATACATTAATTTGCTACAAGCCTTCATTCAAAGCTTCTTCGTTGTTTTTTTCAAGTTCCTGTTAATCTCAGTGGATGTACTTACCTGTCTCTGAAGCACAAGAGGCCAACCAGCTGGCAAACAGGAGTAAAAACAACATGCTGAAGGTTGAATCCATTCAGGAGGAAAGAGATCCCTCTGGGTCTGCTGAGCGTCTGGCTGTTTCTGGTGCGGAGACCAACACCTTTATAAGAGGGTGTGACTCACAAGCAACAATAGAGAGTTTCCATAGAAAGGCGTTAGAAATACGGAGAGAAATATGATCACAAATTATTAAAAACACAGAACACATTTTAAAAGAGGAAATAAATAAATATGTAAACACATGAAACTGATACATTTTTTCACCCAAAATTTTTTTTAGTTATTTTTGATGATTGTTTACCCATATTTTTACTCTTTATGGATTTTTCAGTTTCCTTTTTGTTTTGTTTTTTCACACACACAACGATAACATATGGACTGTCCTCACGAACTAGAGAATGACACGGGAGTGGATTTTCACTCCTTTCCCGTTCCACTCCCACAGAAAAAAATTGTGTCCCGTCCCGATCCCGGGCCAGAGTAGAAATCTAAATCCTGTCCCGTCCCACTCCTGGTGAAATTACTCCCACTCCCATTCAGAATGACTCCCGCTCCTGCACCACTCCCATTCAGCTTGCGTTGCAAATCAAACTTTTCGAAGTCGAGTTCGCCACTAACTGTTGGTCCCTCCATTGTTGTTTTTGAGCGCGGGTGAAAAACTCAGAGCGGAAGCACTGTTGGTTTTTGGGTCATGTAGTTTTTTTGACTCGCATTATAGTGTAGGCTTCAAGGCAAAAAACTACAAAATGGCGGCGCCAGCACTGGATTTTTTTTTCTTTCTATTTTATTTTATTTTTTGGCATCGATCCTAGTTTTTTTTTTTTTTTGTTACTATTGGTTTGCTCCCGCTCCCGTCTGCTCCCGTTAATGTTTAATCCTGTACCGTCCCAATCACGTGATCGTTACTAATACTGACTCCCATCCCACGAGAATCCCGTGACCCGTGGGATTACCGAAAAAATGTCGGTCTCTATCACGAACACACGATGGATTGTTTCCCTCACACATACCCACACACACACAGACACAACCTGTGGATCCAACGCCACATACAGGTACTTCTCAACTGTACCTGCACAGTCTGTAAATCTTGTATCAGCCCTTATATATCCTGTATTATAACCCCCACTAATATATATATATATATATATAATTCATATGCTACCTTTCTGTATATAGCTGCGGTAAATATTCATGTTATAGTATCTTACAATTACTCTCTGTTTATATATTTGAAAATAGGTGCGTTCGAGTTGAACTGGAACTGTGCAGATCTGATTGTTGTTGGTCTGTGTGTGGTGCATGCTTAGATCTCTGTCTGACTCGCTCCTACCTGCGTCTGATGTCTGTAGTGTCCATTGAAACTTTGAGAAATCAGAATGAGATCAGTCGTCTGAGGCAGCTGCCACAGTTGCTTTTTTGAGATTGGGTTTGAGATTGGGCCAAAATCAACTGCAGCGGCTGCACTGGGAAAACACCCCTCTGTCCACAAAGGCTTATTCCCAATAGATTTTTTTATGCGTCATCAATGTGTTTGTAGTCTGTAGCTGGGATATTTATTTATTGTATCTAGGGGAAGCTATTACAATGCACTTCACACCCTTGATTCTATGATAAATTTCCCTTAGTGGACATTAAAGTATATTCTATTCTATTCTGGACAAAAATAAGGACTTATACTGACACTTTACTTTAAACAAACTGCTTATTGTACTATATAGGAAAGTGTAGACAGCAATGCCAAAGCTGAATAAAAGGTGTGTGAATGAGCTGATCTTCTGTTGATTGCTACTATAGAGATTAGCAGCAGTTCGGAGACGTTCGCACAAACCAAAAGCTCATTTAGCACCTTAAAATAAAAACTCTTAAAATATTGATCCTTTTGTTTTTATTAATGTGACTCTGGAACATACAGCCATATAAATTGTGTCAAACAACAAACTGTTAAAAGCTGTTAGCTAAAAGCTTCAATTCAACAGAAAATTGGCCAATTAGGTCTATTTCTTCCTGCTTCTGCTGCTGCCTTCACTGCTTGCAGAGGCGGGACATTTAGGAGGTGTTCGAGGAGCAGAGGCACCGCTCAGGTCCAGGTCCAGGCTCAAAGTTGTCACGCAAGGACAGGGAGCTGCACAAGGCTCAGAGCCGCTGCCTGCTGCAGATTCAGGAGACCTGGAGAGGTCCATAAAGAAACAGAGATACAGAGACCTGACGTTAGGCTTTAATCAGTTGAAGCTTATTTTCCACAGTGGGCAGGTGAAACATTAACAACGCTTTAAAACAAATGTGCCATAGCCCAGACATCCAGGCTTAGTTCTTATATTCTAAGTGTGGTTGATTGGGTTTATGTTTATCATCACCATAACTAAGATAGACATGGGATATTTAGGATGGTTTTACTGCTGCCACATCTAACTGATCATTTAAATAAGAGATATAATGACTAATTCTCATCCCATGAATATGTACAAATTATTAATTATATCACAAAAACATTGATTCTTAAACATACATTTTATTGCCCAAGATAAATGTTAGAATAATTGTATATAAATGTATCTGTGTAGTGTTATCATGCATAAAGCTGTGTGCTATGTGCATGTTTTCATAGCCATCTTTTCTGAAGTATACTGTGATTTGTAGATTTGCTTTTGGGGAGGTTGTGGTCGATTGACGAGCAGCACTCAACCTGCTGAACAGCTTCAACAGCTTAAACTTTGACTGAAAACTGAGATTTAGAGGACATGTTTACTGCGACTGCAAGTCTGAGTTCCTTGTCTTGTCCCCCCCGAGTGGGTTGAAATTTGTAAACTCTGCCGTCTCTTCCTATTCTCCTCGCGAGTGAACTAAATTAATTGTCTCTGTGCCTTCTTTCTTTCCCTGCATGTATGTATGATGTTTTAGGTGCTTAGACCTGACAATAAACAAATATAATTTAGAATTAATAATATAATTATTATGGTTAAATATTTCATACTGAAATGTTATTTTACCAAAACTCTCCCAACAATCATAGCATTTAAAAATGAAATAAATACTTTGTCTTTAAAGAAAATGTCTACCACCAATGCTTTTCCGTCTCAGTGTCTTTCTTTGTTACCCCTTACGTCTTTTATTCTTTATCTTTTTCAATTTAATTTCAATTCAGTTTATTTCTATAGCGCCAATTCACAACACGTCATCTCAAGGCACTTTACAGTTCACCAGTTTAAACGTAAGGTGCCTTTAGTCTAGTGATTATTCCTTTTCAATGTTTATATTTTTTATTGTTGATCTAATTTACTATTGAATAGCTTATATTGAATACCTTTATTTTTTCATAATTTATTAAAAAACTAAGTATTTTTTGTCATTGAATATAGGATATTTTCATATAGGAAAAAGCAAGATGGCGCCAGTGTGTCAGGCGGGCCGTCAGCTGCTCCGATTGTTGTTTGTTTTTCTATTGTTTATAACTTATTTTGAACATACCGTCAACACTCTACGGGTGTATGATCGCCAAACACTGTTAGATCTGAGGATTTACGCCAAAAATCTTGTCAACGTCAACTTCAATTATTATGGACAAAAATCGTTGCCTCCTTTCCTATCGGGCATCCCGACATACCTCTGCCACACTCCGACGCCACCCCCGCGGCGAAAACGGCCCCGCCGCCGGGGTAAGCGTAGCGGCTGTCTGGTGAGGCTGAAGGCCGGGTTGGTACGTCCTGATCGAGGTGGATATGGAGCGGGGCTTCGCCTTTGTGTCTCTCGACGTTCCCTGGACCCCGTCGCTGCCTGGTTGGTACCGGTAGCGGGCTCGGATGTGATGTTTCAACCCCGCGGACTCTGCTCTCTTCGTCCCCGCTGGCGCGGAGTAAATCTGGGGAACCTGCGGCCTCTGTGTCGGGCCTCCCGGTCAGCTGATCGCCCTGACCCGCCAGCTCATGCTAGATTTGGCCTGGTAAACGCCAGATCGCTTGTGAATAAATCATTTATTCTTAAGGATTTCTTCATATCCCGGAATTTGGATTTCCTCTTCATCTCTGAGACCTGGCTGAAGGTTGGTGAGTCCAGTGTTTTCACCGATCTTCTACCTGATGAGTGCGCCTTTTTTAACTCTCCTCGGACGTCTGGCCGAGGAGGAGGAATTGCGACTGTTTTTAAGAGTAACTTTGATTGTAAACAGATATCGCTCTTAACCTCCTTTACCAGCTTTGAACTCAGTTTGTTTGAGCTGGGGCATTCTCACAGGGTACTGTGTGCTGTGGTCTACCGGCCTCCAAAATATAACAGAGACTTTTTAACAGACTTTTCTGTGTTCTTGGCTGATATCATGCCCAAATATGACCGGGTCCTTATTGTTGGAGATTGTAATATTCATGTGTGTTGCCCTGAAAGCCCTTTAGTGCGGGAATTTTTAAATATCATTGATTCTTTTAATCTTGTTCAGTCTGTACTCGGGCCTACACATGAACGTGGTCACACACTTGATCTTGTTTTATCTTATGGTTTGCCTGTTCTTAACCTGGAGGTCCGTGACGCTTTTTTCTCAGATCATATGCCTGTACTTTTTGAAGCTCCTGTTTGCTGTCACATAGTTAAATCTCACGCTGCTGCTCACAGATGCAGAGTGATTAACCCTTCCACTGCTGCTCACTTCTCCGCAGTGTACAGTCAGAACTGCGTTATTCCTGAGTCTTTGTATGAGGATACAGAGGCTCTTAACTCATGGTTTCTCGACACCTGTCAAACTGCCATAGACATTACAGCTCCATTAAAGATCAGGCAGCAGAAAGCTAAATCAGAGCCTTGGTTGAATGAAACAACCAGGACTGCCAGACAGAATTGTCGAAGAGCTGAGCGAAAGTGGAAAAAGGACAAATTGCAAATATCTTTTCAATTACTGAGAGAGTGTTGGCGTCATTACCAATCCACTGTGAAAGAGGCTAAAAGAAGATATTTTTCCGATATTGTTCTTTTAAACTGTGGTAAGCCTTGTGTGTTGTTTAAAGTTATCAACTCTGCTCTGAATGCACCTCAGACTGTAATTGAGGCCTCCCCTGCTGTGTGTGAGAACTTTCTTCACTACTTTATTGATAAAGTCACTTCTACCAGAGCACTTATTTCACCTCCTGCTTCTGATCCTTCGGTGTTTGTCCCCTGCTCTGCTGTGTTTGACATGTTTGAACCTGTGACCCTGCCTTTTGTGCAGGAGATTGTGGGTCACTTGAAGCCTTCAGGGTCTCCAGATGATACTGTCCCACCCCGATTTTTTAAGGAGGTCTTTCCCACTATCGGGCCATCGTGTCTCACAATTATTAATAGCAGTCTGTCCTCTGGAGTAGTCCCTTTAAATCTTAAACATGCAGTCGTGCAGCCTTTATTAAAAAAACCTGGGCTGGATCCTACTGTTCTGTCGAATTTTAGGCCTATCTCTAAGTTGCCTTTCTTCTCAAAAATCTTAGAGAAGATTGTTTATTCTCAGCTCATGGACTTTTTAAATGAACAAAATGTTCTTGAGATTTTCCAATCTGGTTTTAAAACATTGCACAGCACAGAATCAGCGCTTTTAAGAGTTTTTAATGACATCTTTTTAGCTACTGACTCTGGACACTGTGTTGTCCTTGTACTTTTAGATTTGACTGCAGCATTTGATACAGTGGACCATGAAATCCTGATTGCTCGTTTGGAACAGTGGGTGGGCATCAGGGGCTTAGCACTGGAATGGTTCATGTCCTACCTGTCACATCGGACTTTCTGTGTCAGCCTTGATGACTCTGTGTCCTCCACTGCTCCTCTCTCATGTGGGGTCCCACAGGGCTCCGTGCTTGGCCCTCTTTTATTTTCTCTCTATCTACTCCCACTTGGCTCCATTCTCAGGAAACATGGCATTTCCTTTCACTGTTATGCTGATGACAGCCAGATTTATGTCCCCCTCAAAAAGGCTGATTCCTACTCTGTTGAACCACTGTTAAGGTGTTTACATGACCTTAAAGCTTGGATGTCTTTAAATTTTCTGAATTGTAATGAAGAAAAGACAGAAGTCATGGTCTTTGGTGGCACATCTGTGACCCCCTCCCTAGTTGATCTAGGTTCTCTATCGCAATACAGTAAACCAACTGTAAGAAACCTCGGGGTAAAAGTGGACTCAGACCTTAAATTTGACAGCCAGATAAAAGCTGTAATGAAATCTAGCTTTTTCCAGCTAAGGCAGCTGGCAAAGATCAAACCAGTCCTTCAGAGACGGCACTTTGAGACAGTAATCCACGCCTTTGTGACCACTCGGCTGGATTACTGTAATGCACTTTATGTGGGGATTGCTGGGTCCTCAATTGCTCGTCTTCAACTTGTTCAAAATGCTGCTGCACGTCTTTTAACTGGCACACGCAAGTACGAGCACATTTCACCTGTTTTAGCTTCACTCCACTGGCTGCCCATCCATTTTAGGATTCATTTTAAAATTCTTTTATTTACTTTTAAAGCCTTGAATGGCCTTGCCCCAATTTACCTCTCTGAGCTTCTGCACCCCTACACTCCCAGCCGATCTCTCAGGTCAGCTGATCAGCTGCTCCTGACAGTGCCTAAAGCAAGGCTTAAGCTCAGAGGGGATCGAGCGTTTTCTGTTGCAGCTCCAAAACTCTGGAATGCATTGCCGCTGCACATTAGACAGGCCACCTCTCTGTCTCATTTTAAAACGCTTCTTAAAACCCACCTCTTTTCTTTGGCTTTTAACACCATGTAGAGTGTTGATTTTATGTACACATGTTGATTTTATGTACACATGTTGATTTTATGTACACATGTTGATTTTATGTATACACATGCATATTTTTATCCTGTGCGGGCAGTGCTTTTATTTTATTTTAGTTTATTACTTTTATTTATTTTAGTTATTTTATCTTTTTGTGCAGCACTTTGGAAACCTTGTGTTTATTTAAACCGTGCTATATAAATAAAGTGGATTGGATTGGATTGGATATTTTGCAGATATAATTTTTTGACATGATTTACTTATATCTTTCTATCCCTTTTTATATAATTACATTTGCTGTTATCTGTTCATGCTCCTGGTGGTTGTCACCCTTATTCCACGCTGTATTCTCATGAGTATAGTCTTTGTTCACTTTACATTAAAAATAAAAGAAAACAAATAAAAAGAAACAGTGGTGAGGAGTTCGGTATCCATTCTTTTCCTGCTTTTTGTCTTAACTATCACAGTTGCCAGGCGACAGAGCGTACGTGTTGTGAAAGCCGGGGAAGGCTGGACCTGTTTGAATCCACAGCCAAAACTCTTCCAGTCTATCTATGAGTTTGGCAGATCTTGATCAGAAACTGTTATTGTTATGAGAAATTAGCTAAATGTTTAATATAATAATAATAATAATAATAATAATGAATGTTATGAGCATTCAATAAATTCTTTAATTTTTGTTTCTTAATCTTAAAAAGGGATCTAAAACCTTTCTAAAATGACTCTCTTCAACGCTTCCCTCTGTTACCAAGTTACTTCCTGCCCTCCATATCAAATTGCACATCATAAAAATCCTTAAAAAATAAATAAATAAAATAAAAAAATAAAATAAAAATCCTAAACTAAATCCTGCATGTTGCCTTTCATCAGTGAAGGGAAGTTTGAGTCAGATACTCAGCTACCAGGACAACTTGCATTAAGCTCATGGAATGACCCCAGCCTCAACCAAACTGAAAATAATGGATTTGAGTTAAATTCAGGCTCTTTTTGAGGAAACCCAAAATAGTTAGAAATACTGGTTGGGTTCCTCCTTCAAATTTTTCTAAGAGAAGCTCAAATAAATTCTAACTTCTGCTTCTAAGTCTTTATTTTCTTATTATAACTTAATATTAGGGATGCACAATATTGGGATTTTGGCCGATATCCGATATGCCGATATTTTAAAACTCATGTAGCCGATAATCGATATCGATACCGATGTTAAAGCTGGACAAAAATAAGTAGTCATTGAAAATAGCAGTTTTGTTATCCATTTCTGACACTTTGAAAAATAATATACTCAAATATATTTTCATATGCTGATATCAAATTGATTTTTAAAAACGCGGTATCGATCTATTTTACTTTCAAAATCTCGTGAAATTTCATCGTTCTGTTACAAACTCTCGTGATATTTTGCAAATTATTGTGAGATTTTGTTATTAAAATAGATCGATACCGCGTCAATATATCAACATATAAAAATATGGCAAAATTTTGTGAATTTTCGGGGGATTTCGTAGCATAACGATGACATATAGCAATATTTCATTAGTAAAAGAGATTGATATGGTGTTTTTAAATGGCAATATATCAGCATATGAAGATATTGGGATATTTTAATGTATCAATATTTTTTCCCTCGTCTTTAGAAGTTTTTAAGTCTGTAAAAAAGAAGTTTTTGAGGAAGAAGAAGAAGTAGTTTTTTTAATTATTTTTTAGACTTTAGAAGCTGATCAAATATCGGGTTAAATATTGGTGGGGTGGCCGATGTCCAATATTCAGTTTTAAGGCCGATACAGGCCGATACCGATAGGGGTCGATTATATCGTGCATCCCTACTTAATATTGTTTTAAACTTTTGGCCATGATAATGAGCATTTGAAGAGCATTTACTTTAATTAAAGCATCTATAAAATAAAGCACAGATTGAGTTGGGAATTACTAAGGTCAGACCTGAGAGACGAGGGGATGCGAGGAGAGCTCCTCTTGGAGCTCCGCTGACTACCGAGGACGGAGGAAGGAGATGGAAAGGGCAGGCTGGCCTGAGAGAAACAGCAGACAGGAACATTAAACTTTAACAATATCTTCATCCAACTAAATGCTGAATGCTTCTCCTTAAAAGAAAACTGCACCTGTTTAAAGTGTTGCTCCAGCACAGGTCTGAGCTCAGGATCCTCCTCTATGGCCTTATTCACCATCTTTCTGATGGTGTTGTTGAATTCATTTAACTCTCTCAGTTTCAGATCTTGCTCCTCCAGAGTCTCGTTTTTGGTGTTTCTTGCTGAGCGGATATCTTTGGTCAGTTTAGTGAACTACAAGGTTCACCAAGGAGAACATTAATATAAAAAAAAAAAACATAAGAAAGATCTGATTAATCCAAACAATTCCGACTCTAACCGAGACGTCAGCAGAAGCTCTTACATTAGATCAGGTATAATAAAGCGTTACCATGTGAAATTTTTTTGCTGAACTATTTATTTAGATATCCCAAATCATATGTCCAAGTACCTCTCTACAGTTAATGGTTATTTTCTGCTAATTTAGAGCTCAGTGTTTCGATATTAAGACTTTAGGGCGGAGGTCTTCAACAGGGGGTCCGCGACCCCTAGGGGGTCCGCAGAGGTACTGCATGGGGGTCACGAAAGTTTGGGCTGATTAGACTTTTTTTTATATACCCCCCTGCAATTTTTTCCATTATTGAAATGTCTTTAAATACATATTAACATGAATTCAACACACTGTAGTAAACAGATAAATGCAGGCAGAAAAATGTCTTCCAGTCATCAATGCACACAGAAAGCCTTTAGCTATGCAGCTCCTTGTGCGTGGAATTTTTTACAAAGAAACTGGAAATTGACTGAGGTTTTATCTTTAAATTCTTTTTAAAGTTTAAAGTACACGAATATGAAGCAGCCTCAATGATCAGTAATTGTTTTCCTTGATATGTTTTTTTTTTTTTCTTTTCTTCTTCTTTTGTCATTTATTTTAATGTATCTATGTTGGTTTCGTAACTTTGCTGCCTCTTGGCCAGGACTCCCTTGAAAAAGAGGTTTTTAATCCCAATGGGATTTTTTTCCTGGTTAAAAAAAAATAATTATTATATATATATATATATATATATATATATATATATATATATATATATATATATATATATATATATATATATATATATATATATATATATATATAATTAGGGGTCCCCACTCCATCTCGCCATCAGTTTGAGGGTCCTTGGCCTGGAAAATGTTGAAGATCCTTGCTTTAGGGGGTTTTCCCACCTTGACCATGCTTTATAGGTTTGAGCAATAGCGTAATTCAGAACTGTTATTGTGTTTTACTGTTTGTTTTATTGTGTCTTTATATTAATATATCTTATATTTGTCATGGTCTTGGTTCTGTTGCGCTTTACTTTGCTCCATTTTTCCTAGTTTTATTGGTTTAATTCCTATTTTGTTGTAGTTTCTAGATTTATGTTAGTTCTCAGGTTTTTCTGTTGTCCTTTGTTGCCCTCTTGTGTGTGTTCCTTTCCCCTTGGCTCCCTTGTTGTCTCCTCCCACATGCTCCTCGTTGGCTCGTTAGCCCTGCCTTTGTCTCAGTCAGCTACATATACTCTCCCTCTGCTGTCACTCGTTGTTGGTTCCTTGTTGTTGCTGGTCCTGTCGTCGCTGTTCTCTGCTCACCTCGTCTCTCCCTGGCTCCTTGTGCATGTTTTCCCCTGATGTCTCCATGGTTCTGGTCTGTGTTACATTTTTTGTTGGATTTTGCCTCTGTTATTATTGTTTGCATTAAAACTACAAGAAATCGCCTCAGCCTCTCTGCCTCTGCATTTGGGTCATCTAAACCACAACCAAAATGTGACAATATTAGATCTTTTCTATTTTATAATTACATTGTGTTTTACAAATGTGTAAAGCACCTTGGTCCTCTCGGTGCATAAAATGCTTCATAAATAAAGTTTGGTATGGTATTGTCACAGTCTTGGTTTGTTAGTTCCTGTCTTCCAGGTTTTCCATTTGTTGTCCTCTGCTGCCCTCTTGTGTCCTTTTTCCCTTGCTCTGTTTTCTGCTCTGCCCTCACCTGTTTTCAATCCCCTCGTTAGCCCTCTCTTTGTCTCTGTCCCCTTTAAAAGCCTCCCTCTTCAGTTCCTGTTTGCTGGATCCTCGTCAAACGTCTGTCTGTTTACCTCGTCTCTCCCTGGCTCCTAGAGTTTGGTTTCTCCTGATGTCTCCTTGGTTCTCGTTCGTTGTTATTTTTGTTGGATCTTTGAGTCCTGCCTCCGTACCTGTAAACTTCATTAAACCCACCAAAATTCCCCTCTGCCAACTTGCCTCTGCTTTTGGGTCCTCAATCCAACACCAAATCGTGACAACCAAAATGTAACAATATTAGATCTTTTCTATTTTATAATTGCATTGTATTTTACAAATGTGTAAAGCACCTTGGTCCTCTCGGTGAATAAAATGCTTCATAAATAAAGTTTGGTATGGTATGGTAATAGGTTCTATCTTTTTTGGACAGTGTTATTTTGAGGCACAGCAAATATTTTTTTGGTGATCAAAGTTATATCCAACTGAAAAAAAAACACATAACTGATTGGAATTGATTAAGATGTGTTTGTATTCACCCTAACTTTCCAGTAAATAAAGCTCCAGGCGACCTTGCTTCGTTTTGCTTTTAATGCACCAGTGAGGCTGAGATGTAAACCAATGTAAACAGGTCAGATTTTGGTTCTGTTGTAATCTGGTTCTGACATCCAAATTCAGATGCAGGAAATGTGATCGTGTGAGCGACCACTGAGCACACTTGATAGGAGCAGTATTCATCTAGGTCAGGGGTTCCCAAAGTGATGGTCGAGCGATGGTTTAATCATTGTGATGTGATCCCTGAGGTATATAGAGGGTTAAAATATCTCAGAAAATACATAAATGCGAATATCACATGCACTGTTACTTTTTGAGTTAATACATGGTTAAAATAATAAATATACAAACACATGTAGCGTCATGGCTGAAAGCCAAACGGAGCAGTTGTTTGCTAAATAAACTCCACTTTCGTCACGTGGAACTGGTTTGGCTTTTCGCCAAATGACAAGGAGAAAACAAAAGTAATTTTCAAAGTTTGCCCAGACACAGTTTGCATGTCGGATGGCTACGCAACAAACTTGTTTAATCACATAAAGAGAGTATGAGAGCCAAACAGAGAGAGGACCGCCGGCAGCATCACAGTTGCTAGACCCCAACAGGCAACATTAACACAGGGATGGGATAAAGGCTCTCCTTATGAGAAAACAAGCAAGAGGAGGAAAGAGGAAACAGCAGTCATCCCTTGCTGGGGTGTAAGATTATCTTACAAAAGTTACAAAAGAAACAGAATCAGCGATCATAATCAACATGTTCAAACGCCTGCTCAAAGTACTTCAATCTGAACAACTCACACGAAGAGAAAAGACATTAAGAAGACATTTAATGATACAATTACTTAGTCTTTGGCGCTCAGACATGCATGAACAGGAGCAAAGAATAGGGCTGTTTCCTCCCCAGGCCTTTAACTAGTGGTGGAGTGGAGATAATTTAAGTTGGTCAGTCTGTAGAATGCTGGTTAAAGGAATGGTACACCCAAAACATGATTAGCCTTCATTTTCTACTCACCCCCATGCTGAACAACACTCTGGAGTACTTTTTTGATATCTCAAATGCATCTGGAGATCTGGGAGGCTTCTTGCTGTCTGCTGACATTCAAATAATGGAGGTCTATGGCGCCTGAGGCAGAAAGGTTCATAAAAGTCCACAAAAAACGTGTCAATATTCCTCCATACTGCTCGTCCAATGTATTCCAAGTGTCCTGAGTGGGTAGCATCCAGAATTTACTCGAAACGAAGTCATTTAGAATGTTTTTAGAGCATAAACAGTAGTGTATAGGATTTCCTAAAAGCGCGCGCCTGCGAGTTCACGAGCCTACAGAAACCGCGGCAGACCAAACCAGATGAAAGTGCGCATTTAGCTCGGCAAAGAACTCATGCTCTTCTTCAACACTGAAGTCCTCAGACATTTTTCTTTCGTTGTTTCTTTCTTTGCACAGGTAAACAGCACATTTTTTCTTCTACGCTTGCATTATCGGCAGAGCAGACGCTGAATGCGCACTTTCATCTGGTTTGGTCTGCCGCGGTTTCCGTAGACTCGTGAACTCGCAGGCGCGTGCTTTTAGGAAATCCTATACACTACTGTTTATGCTCTAAAAACATTCTAAATGACTTAGTTTCGAGTAAATTCTGGACGCTACCCACTCAGGACACTTGGAATACATTGGACGAGCAGTATGGAGGAATATTGACACGTTTTTTGTGGACTTTTATGGACCTTTCTGCCTCGGGCGCCATAGACCTCCATTATTTGAATGTCAGCAGACAGCAAGAAGCCTCCCAGATCTCCAGATGCATTTGAGATATCAAAAAAGTACTCCAGAGTGTTGTTCAGCATGGGGGTGAGTAGAAAATGAAGGCTAATAATGTTTTGGGTGTACTATTCCTTTAACGAGACGGTCTGCTGAGCGGAATAATTAGAATAAACTGGAAATCTGTGTCTACTTCTGTTCTAATTAGATGTATATTTGATGTGTTTAATAAAGCAGAATAGCATCTTAGCCAACCTTCTTCGTTGCTCTGCCTATTCTCTCCTGTATGGAGCCTGCTTCTTTTTCCCGTTTAGCAATCAAAGTCTTTTTGTCCAGTATCTGATGTTTCTCCACCGTCTCATCTTTCAGAAGACTCTCCCAAGTGTTGTTCATGTCCTGAAAAATTGAGGCCAGCACACAGACACACACGTTAGCACACATAAAAAGACACAGCAGCTTTTATACATACAGAGATTCACAATAGATAGGTTTCACATGAGCGGGAATAATAGATTCATGATATTCTCAGTTGGACTCAGTTACTACAGGAAATTAGGGCAAAGAAGGAGAGAAAATAAGGTTAAAGGGATCTTTTTTTTTAGTAGCTTGATTTACATGAAACATTTTAAGATCTACAGGTGCTGGTCATAAAATTAGAATATCATGAAAAAGTAGATTGATTTCAGTAATTCCATTTAAAAAGTGAAACTTGTATATTATATTCATACATTACATACAAACTCATATATTTCAGATGTTTATTTTGTTTAATTTTGATGATTACAAATGACAACAAATGAAAATCTCAAATTCATCATATCAGAAAATTAGAATATTACTGAAGACCAATAAAAACAAAGGATTTATAGAAATGTTGGCCAACTGAAAAGTATGAACATGAAAAGTATGAGCATGTACAGCACTCAGTATTTAGTTGGGCCTCCTTTGGCCTGTATTACTGCAGCAATGCGGCGTGGCATGGAGTCGATCAGTCTGTGGCACTGCTCAGGTGTTATGATAGCCCAGGTTGCTCTAATAGTGGCTTTTAGCTCTTCTGAATTGTTGGGTCTGGTGTATTGCATCTTCTTCTTCACAATACCCCATAGATTTTCTATGGGGTTAAGGTCAGGAGAGTTTGCTGGCCAATTAAGAACAGGGATACCATGGTCCTTCAACCAGGTACTGGTAGCTTTGGCACTGTGTGCAGGTGCCAAGTCCTGTTGGAAAATGAAATCTGCATCTCCAAAAAGTTGGTCAGCTGCAGGAAGCATGAAGTGCTCTAAAACTTCCTGGTATGTGGCTGCGTTGACCCTGGACCTCAGAAAACACAATGGACCAACACCAGCAGATGACATGGCACCCCAAACCATCACTGACTGTGGAAACTTTACACTGGACTTCAAGCAACGTGGATGAAGTGCCTCTCTTCTTTTCCTCCAGACTCTGGGACCTTGATTTCCAAAGGAAATGCAAAATTTACTTTCATCAGAGAACATGACTTTGGACCACTTACCAGCAGTCCAGTCCTGTTTCTCTTTAGCCCAGGCAAGACGCTTCTGACGCTGTCTGTGGTTCAAGAGTGGCTTGACACAAGGAATGCGACAGCAGAAACCCATGTCTTTCATACGTCTGTGTGTGGTGGTTCTTGAAGCACTCACTCCAGCTGCAGTCCACTCTTTGTGAATCTCCCCCACATTTTTGAATGGGTTTTGTTTCACAATCCTCTCCAGGGTGCGGTTATCTCTCTTGCTTGTACACTTTTTTCGACCACATCTTTTCCTTCCCTTCGCCTCTCTATTAATGTGCTTGGACACTGAGCTCTGTGAACAGCCAGCCTCTTTAGCGATGACCTTTTGTGTCTTGCCCTCCTTGTGCAAGGTGTCGATGGTCGTCTTTTGGACAACTGTCAAGTCAGCAGTCTTCCCCATGATTGTGTAGCCTATAGAACTAGACTGAAAGACCATTTAAAGGCTTTTGCAGGTGGTTTGAGTTAATTAGCTGATTAGAGTGTGGCACCAGGGGCCATCAATTTTGAACCTTTTCACAATATTCTAATTTTCTGATATGATGAATTTGAGATTTTCATTTGTTGTCATTTGTAATCATCAAAATTAAACAAAATAAACATCTGAAATATATGAGTTTGTATGTAATGTATGAATATAATATACAAGTTTCACTTTTTAAATGGAATTACTGAAATCAATCTACTTTTTCATGATATTCTAATTTTATGACCAGCACCTGTAGAATTTAGCGGATGAAAATATAAGCTGCTTTACTGTCATATACCAACACAGTTCACTCAGTTAGTTGCATCTCCCAAAGGCTTCGGCCAAGATGCTAAAAAGAAAAGATGCAAAAATATTTATTCCCTGTAGCACACTGAAAATGTAATTTAAATCCATTTATTGTCCCACAATGAGGAAATTCACTCTCTGAATTTGACACCCCCCCCTTGGGGAGCAGTGGGCTGCCATTGTGTGGCGCCCAGGGAGCAGTGTAACCTGACTCCGCCAGATGGATACGCCAGATGGATTTGCTCCGCATATCCATCTGGAAAACTTCCGTTGAAGTAATTTTGGGAAGGGGCGAAAATACTGGTTAGCTGATTGGCCTATGTTGGTGATAGACGGGCCAAATAAACCAATCAGATCAACGAAGCATATGACGTACTAACAGAGCGACGACGAAGAGGAGCCAATTGATAGATCAAACTCTTGGCGAAACCAGTCGGGAGAAGAGCAAAAACATCTTTTCCTCTGAGAAAAGCCTCCAGAGCAGTGTTTTGCTCTTCTTTCAGTGAAGAAATACTCTGTAATTCCGATAAAACTTGCTCGATAGCCAAGCTAACATTAGTTTCATCGGCTGAAGCCGCCATGTTCTTTAGACTGAACTGTCACGCTTCTCTTTGTGTCACACCTCAACCCGCCTCAAAGCCAACGCTGATTGGACGTTCGTTTGGTGAACGGCTCCAAATTTTCTTTAACGGAGAGTCTCCAGACTGATCTGCGAGTGAAACCTTGAAAGCTCGCGAGATCAGGATGGTCTCACCAGGCTAGGAGCAGTGTGGGGTTAAGAGATTTCAAACAGTTTCTTTATTCAGATTTTATGTAGTAGAAAAAGTAGAGAAAAAAACGAAAACTACAAATAATCCTGTAACATACTTCAAAGTTTTTAGAAAATATAAATAATTTCAAACCCGGAGACCTAGGGAGAAAAATAATCTGGGAAAATTCAACAGATATAAACATTGGGGACCCTCCAAGCACCAAAGCATCAGGGTATATTTTCATATGTGTAATCCTCAGACTGTGGTTAGATTGCTCTTTTTTAACAGATAATATTAATGCGTTGCTTATCCTTAAACTCTAAAGAACCTGGATTTCCTCGCGTAGCGAACAAACTTCTTGCTTCTTTAACTTCAGCTTTTCCTCGGTGGCCTTCATTTCCTCCTGTTGCTTCTCGTTTTCCTGATACTCTGGACCTTGAAAAAACATTTCTGTTAAGTTTAATCTCTGTTTGTATGTTTTCCAGCTAATGTGACTTTCATCTTCTTCCAGAACTTTCTGTCATACGTACAGCATTTCGTTGCTTTGTTGAGAAGACTGTGAAAGAAGGAGGAGCCATCAGTGAACAGCTGCACAGTGTTCTGGAGGGCTTTAGTTTCGAGCTCCATCTTGCGGACTTGAGCGTCTATTTCATCTGTTTTCTGTTGAAGTTCCATTTTCTCTAGCACAGCCTAGTAAAAAAAACAAAAAACAAGCAGCAATAATTGGAGGTGATTGGAGGGCTGCAGCATACGGGCTCTGCACGGTCAAAGGTTCCCCACCTTAGTGATGCAAGTCTGGTATTTCTCCTCAGGACCAGTCATATTTTTTTCCATGGCTTCAAAACGTTTCTTCATCTTGTCAATTTTGGACAGTTTTTCATTTAATTCCATGCTGAGACAGAATTAAGGGACAAATTACAGAGTTTTTGCTGGAAATAAAGACATAAACATTTGGTACGATTATGTTTTTTGTTGCGCTTTAGATGAGCTACCGGCTTTCCCACCTCAGATGCTGCCTGTCCTTCTCAGTAATCTTCAGCTGCTGTCTGAGCATTCCCGTGTAAACTTTAATCTCCTGCTCCCTCTCTTGCATGACTTTCTCCAGCTCTAACTTCCTCATCTCCAGGGACAGCATGCTTTCTGCCTCTACGTAGACGAGATCCCGGACACGCTTCACTTCTCTCCGTAAGACGTTGTTCTCCACTTTCACATCCTGATGGCAAAAAGACAGATAACTAGAGCTGAAACTGCTGGTTATTTTGCTAATTGATTAATCCATTGATTTTCTTTTTAATTAATAATCAGACAGCAAAAGGTCTCTCAAAGATATTTCTATAAAGACAATTAAAAAAGTTGAAGCTAAAACTAAGCCACTCGAAGTTTTGGATACCACATATTTACTAACAAAAAACATCATGTATATATATATATATATATATATATATATATATATATATATATATATATATATATATATATATATATATATATATATATATATATATATTTGTTTTTTGTTTTTTTTTCTACAATTTTACCATAATTGCATAACTGCTCTGAGGGTGTTTTTAACTAAAATAGTTTGTTTACTCTACCAAAGAATCAATCATTGACTCAGATAACAACAATTTTAACAATCAATCAACCAATCAAAATTGATTGTTTCGTCCATATAGTGGAATGGACAATACCACTATATGGACTGGTCAGACCATTCATGCCTATGGGAGCTAGACCTGTAAGATTAAAGTATCTATAGGAAGAAATAAAGTTATGAAGACCCTGAAGGGAACCACCAACAGAAACACGTCGGCCCACCAACAAGGTTTGTTGCAAGTATTTCTAGTAGGCCTACTTCTAAACCTTTAATTGTAGTAAAGTTGGTCCAAGATCTCTTGGATTTCTGATGGACTTTACTCTCCCTGTTACTGCTGAATCTGCAGAGCAGAGCTTTTCCAAAACTAAATTACCTGAGATCTTCTATGGTAGAAGAATGATGGAGCGAGCTGGCAGTAGTTAAAGTTTCCATACAAAAAACCCCATTTGTTGATCATTGCAATGGAAAAAAAAAAGTCAGCGAAAGAAACCAGACACTTCAGCTTTTTCAGTTTCTACATGTTTCTAGAGGAATCACCATTCCAACAGAATACCATATTACAACTGTAAACCTAAATTACAACTATATCTATGCAACTACTTTGTTGGTATAATGATTTTTTTTACCGTATAAAAAATGCATAAAGTACACTTGAGTGGAAAGATAAAATATTTCTTTACAGAATAAAGATAGATTTTTGTTTAAAACTTTGTTTTACAATCCTAAGGATGTATAAAAACACTTATCATAATTCCTGAATTATTTGATTTGTTTGTTGTTATTCTTGCACTATAGGTTATTTTTACATCTTGCAGTTGAAACCAAATAAAAAGGGTTCACCCAGAAGGTTTGAAAGCAAAATAAAAAAATAAAAATGTACTTTTAATTCTGCGCTGGCTTCCTGTCTAGACGCTCTCTGGGTACGCTCTGATATTTTCTAAGCATCATTCTTTGGACTTCCTTGTTTTTTAACCCTGTGAATCCTAAACATTGAACTAATTGTCAGAAAATATCTCAACCTTTTGAAACTAGAGTCTTCATCAAAAATTCTGACAAATGAAAAAAAAAAATGTAGTTTACCTACAGGAGTTTTATTTAGCAATGTATGTGATACACTGAGTCTTTCCATATGCATTATGCATTTTCTTTTCAATACACGTGTGATTGCATACATTAGTTTTTTTTCAGGAAAAAATGTCAAGCTAATCATGTAGAGGTCCTAAAAACTCATGTATCAAATATACGCATATATACGTGTTTTAGGGTGGAATGTATGGAAGAAAAAAATAATAATTTAACTGATTTTTAAATTTGATTTCAGTTTAGTATGGGAAAAAAGTCAGAATTCTGAGAAAAAAGTCAGAATTCTGAGATTAAAGTCAGAATTCTGAGAAAAAAGTCAGAATTCTGACTTTAATCTCAGAATTCTGAGAAAAGAGTCATAATTCTGACTTTAATCTCAGAATTCTGACTCTTTTCTCAGAATTCTGACTTTAATCTCAGAATTCTGACTTTTTTATTGTCATAATTCTGACTTTTTTATTGTCAGAATTCTGACTTTTTTCTCAGAATTCTGACTTTTTTTATTGTCAGAATTCAGTCAGAATTCTGAGATTAAAGTCAAAATTCTGAGATTAAAGTCAGAATTCTGAGAAAAAAGTCAGAATTCTGAGATTAAAGTCAGAATTCTGACTCTTTTCTCAGAATTCTGACTTTAATCTCAGAATTCTGACTTTAATCTCAGAATTCTGATTTTTTTATTGTCAGAATTCTGACTTTTGTATTGTCAGAATTCTGACTTTTTTCTCAGAATTCTGACTTTTTTTATTGTCAGAATTCAGTCAGAATTCTGAGATTAAAGTCAGAATTCTGAGAAAAAAGTCAGAATTCTGAGAAAAAAGTCAGAATTCTGAGATCAAAGTCAGAATTCTGACTTTTTCCAATACTAAATTGAAATAAAATTTTAAAATCAGTAAACTTTTTTTTTTTCAGTGGCCCTAATCCTCTTCCGTAGGAATGTGACCTTTCACCATTACTAGAGATGGAGAGATTTTCTCATATTGCTGCATCAATGACGATGCCTGCTGTGTAACAATGACTGTTTGAGTGTGATAAAAACTTTCCCTGTGTTGGTGAGGGTTTTGGATTGTTTCCGCTTTGCATGATTGATACCTTTACTCAGTCATATGTAATGCCAGCATACTGACCATGTTTTTCAGTTGCAGCTTCTTCAACTCCTTTTTGAGATATTCAGAAACTTGGTCCTTCTCCTGGACCCTGTCAGACAGGTCTCTCTTCAGGGCCTCTGACTTCTCCATCTCCTTCCTCATAAAGTGTATATTAGCCTGCCAAAGACATGCTTGCAGTATGTCAAACAATGTCGTTTCGCTGGATCATTAAAGGAAACATCTTTGAGATATTGTATGTAGCAGACCTCACAGTCCCCAAGCGCACTCTTAAGACTTTTGGCTGTCGATTTCTTTTCCTCCAGAGTTTTGTTCAGCTCACCAAGCCTCGTCTCCAACACCTCTTTCTCATCCTCATGAACGTCACCCTTCAGCTTGGCTAATTGGAGTTGCAGCCAATGTATCTTAACGACCTATTCAAAGCATGAAAGACAGAATGAAAGTCAGACGCTCTACACTGAAGCGCTGCTCTGAGAGAAGTTGAAGACATGCCTGTTTGTTCATGATCATCTGCTGATCAGTCTGTTGTTTCTCCAGCTTATTGAGCTCTTTTTGCAAGCTGGACGTGGTGAATTTCTTCGTCGAAATCTGGGTGGTGAGACTCTTCTCCTTCTCTTTGAGGAGCTTGAACTGGTGTTTCTGGCGGAATAGCTCCTCCATCAGGTAATTTTGCTGAACTTCCAACTTCTAGAGGAAGTATGAAGCACAGGGTTACACTGGAGAAGAACTGCACAACACCCTGATCAAAACAGCTCTGCTTATCTGGATCCTGTTTTTGATTGACTGATCGTCCATCTATCCGTCCACCTGTCCATCCGTCCGTCAGTCAGTCAGTCAGGATCTTTGTACTGCTCATAAGCTTGCGCTGTTCAGCATCTCACCTTGATGGCCTGATCAGTTTCCTTAATCATCTGCTCCATCTGAGCAGCTCTCTCCTCCTCATTGAGAGCAGTCTGGATCACACTCCCCAGCTTCTCCTCCAGAGCAGCGTTGTAAACCTCACCCTCCTTTATTCTGCAACACAAACACAGAGTCTGTGCAGTTTAACCCAGCGACTTGGACTCTGCAATGCCTTATGTTTCACTGACTTTTCATCGTTGCGTGCGATGTCTTTCTTCATTCTGGATATTTGGGATTTCATAAACCTGACATCGGACAGGTTTCCGTCCAGCATGACTTTGCTGCTTTTGAGCTGCAAGACAGACGGGTTAAAACAGGGAGATTATGCTGCCATTCGGTGAGGTTTGGATTAATAACTCACCTCATCCTGCATCCTGCCAATGTCGTCCTCCTGCTCCTTCAGCTGCTGCTGTAATATCACCCCCTGCCTCTTTTTTGCTGCGATGTTCCTCTGAAGCTCCTCGTTGTTCTTCATCTCCGTATCCAACCTGTGCTTCAGCTCTGTAATGCTGGCATTCCTTTCCCATATTTGCTGCTTGCCTTGAGCAAGATGCTGGAATGAAAACAGAAGCAAAGAGCTCAAGTTCCAAGATAGTTTTGGTTTAGAAAAATTGTAAAGTAGCTGTAGATTTTATCACCAGTAGCACCTTACCAAAGCGCATTGTTGCATATTGGAGTCCAGTTGCTTTTTCTGCTTGATGGTGTTTTCACATTGATTGAAGAGCTGCTGGATCTCAGAGCGAGTCTGCTCTATGTTTTCTAAGGTCTTTGCCAAAGCTAACTGCATGGACACCATTTACAAAAAGAAAGACATTAAAACAATCATATGGAAGTAAATCTGTGTCGCTGGGATTTGAATTAAAAACGCCACTGAAATTTAAATGCTGTATGTTTGTACTTACTGTTTCAGTGTTAAAATATATTCAGAACACATTTTTGACCTAAAAAAAATTCATTGTTATTATTTCTACACAGTTGAAATTTAATTTGTTATTTTCTCTTCAAGCTAAAAATTCACATTCCTATTTCAAAGTGATTACATTTTCAATACTTATTTTTCAGTGTTAAAAAAAATCTGCATATAAAAAAATTCAACTTTTCAAAATTCAAACACAATATTTTCAGCCTCCTGAGATTCAACTGGCTCTATTTCACCGTCTTAAATTCAGCGTCTAAATTCAGTGTAAAAAGGGAAGGGTTACTTCAGGTCACAGATATTAGCGATGGATTGTGGCGTCCAACACCCAGCCAATCCCGTTACGCTTTCTTAGTCACGTGACGTGACGCTTGTGGCGCACATACGGAAGGAAAACCAGCATGATGGAGCCGGTGTAGGTACCAGATTAACTCGGGCTGCCAGATTGACTCGGGGGCCTGCGCCTTTTGATGACGTCACAATACATAATTGTTTTAACGTTTGCACAATTGCGCAAAACATTTTGATTGGTCTGTACAGCTTACTAAAGTAATTATAGCGGGGTGTAGGTTTTATTCGAAAGCGGGATTGCGGTTTGTAAACGGACAATTTTACGAAGAAATTCTCCATGGGCCTTGCGCCTCCCGATGACGTCACATTATGGCAACGCCACTCAAACAAACTACATTGAGCCCGCGGTCTGCATTTGTAACGAGAATAAATTCAGGAGAATGAAGCTAAAGGGATACAAACGATTACCGTTTATTGGCTAAATAAAATAGATTTGTGACAAATAGAGACCGCGGGCGCAATGTAGTTTGTTTGAGTTGAGTTGCCATATCGTTACGAGTGGTGTTGCCATATAGTGACGGGCGGAGTTGCCATATTATGACGTCATCAAAAGGCGCAGGCCACCGAGTCAATGTGGTTCCTACACTGGTCATGCAAGCTAACGCTAACTCAACATGAGTTTATTACTTTTATTTTTCTGTAGTTGAGTTAGCGTTAGCTTGCATGACCGGCTCCGTGAATTTTTTTATATGCAGATTTTTTTGATTTTTTTTTTTTTTTTTTTTTAGGTCAAAAATGTGTTCTGAATATATTTTAACAGCCAGTACAAACATACAACATTTAAATTTCAGTAGCATTTTTAATTCAAATCCCAGCGAAACAGATTTACTTCCATACAATCAGGATTACAGAGAATTATTTAAAAAAAAAAGTCTCTTTATATCTTGGTTTTAAAAAACCCTCAAAGCTTCACAATTCAGTAGTCTCCTAAACCAAATAAATTCTGCAGACAAACGCATGTGTTAAGATCGAATGTCAATGATGCAACAGCTGCGACTCCCCCTCTGACATCACATTCCTGCACGTGATTCTACGGTAGAAAATCGTGAAATAAGATAAGTGAATATTTTCATAAAATGCACTACACCTTAAATATAGTTACTGAAATTACTTTTTAAAAGAATTTTGATGACGTTAAAACAATCAGAGGGCTCCAAAAGTCAATCTGTGATTTCAGATATAACTCTTACAGACAATTCTTATGCTATTCAAAAAAGAAAAAAGTTCTTCCTTTCTATTAAAAGTTTCATAGAGAGCATACAGAACTATCATCAACGCTTCTTTAGGGTCTAATTAAATCAATCCCTCAGCCACAAAAAGATGTTTAATTTAGACAGTCAACACTCTATCATTTTACTTAAAGGAATGGTACACCCAAAACATGATTAGCCTTCATTTTCTACTCACCCCCATGCTGAACAACACTCTGGAGTACTTTTTTGATATCTCAAATGCATCTGGAGATCTGGGAGGCTTCTTGCTGTCTGCTGACATTCAAATAATGGAGGTCTATGGTGCCCGAGGCAGAAAGGTCCATAAAAGTCCACAAAAAACGTGTCAATATTCCTCCATACTGCTCGTCCAATGTATTCCAAGTGTCCTGAGTGGGTAGCATCCAGAATTTACTCGAAACGAAGTCATTTAGAATGTTTTTAGAGCATAAACAGTAGTGTATAGGACTTCCTGAAAGCGCGCACATGCGCGCTCCCGACGCTACGGAAGCCGGCAGACCAAACCAGCGCATTCAGCTCGGCAGAGAACTCATGCTCTTCCTCAACACTGAAGTCCTCAGACATTTTTCTTTCGTTGTTTCTTTCTTTGCACAGGTAAACGGCACATTTCTTCTTCTACGCTTGCATTATTGGCAGAGCAGACGCTGAATGCGCACTTTCATCTGGCTTGGTCTGCCGGCTTCCGTAGCGTCATGAACGCGCCGGCGCGCGCTTTCAGGAAATCCTGAGCATAAACTACTGTTTATGCTCTAAAAACATTCTAAATGACTTCGTTTCGAGTAAATTCTGGACGCTACCCACTCAGGACACTTGGAATACATTGGACGAGCAGTATGGAGGAATATTGACACGTTTTTTGTGGACTTTTATGGACCTTTCTGTCTCAGTCACCATAGACCTCCATTATTTGAATGTCAGCAGACAGCAAGAAGCCTCCCAGATCTCCAGATGCATTTGAGATATCAAAAAAGTACTCCAGAGTGTTGTTCAGCATGGGGGTGAGTAGAAAATGAAGGCTAATCATGTTTTGGGTGTACTATTCCTTTAAGAATGATTAGAAAATAATCGCCTTATGTTTGGCTAATACGCTAAAAACTGTAATGCAACTTATTATTGGACAACTTCAATGTGTAACTATTGTAATGAAAGAATCCCATTTAAACACTCACATTTTCACAAACAGTTATTTTTAAGCTGGTATCGAATACATAAACATAACCGCTCCCAAAACAAATATATTTAGAATAACAAAAGCATCTCCTTCAAGCAAAAATCTACTTTTCTTTAAACATGGTTTGACAAAGGCATAATTTCTGTACATTAACTCTTTAACAAAGAAGGTAATTGTTATGGTTCTTCCCATTTGTTGTGACTCTTGAGTTTTCTGTTTTCTGTTATCAGTTGTTTTGTTTTTTTTATCTTCCATGATATTCAAGCATTCTTTAGTTACTCTCTGTTGCCCCCTTGTGATTGTTTTCTTTCCCCTTGGATTCCCTCTTGCCAGTTCCACCCACACCTGCTCCTTATTCAGCTCATTAGTCCATCCTTTGTTCTGTTCTCCTTTAAATACTCCACCTCTGCAGTCACTCAGGGCTGGTTCCTTCTCATTGCTGTATTTGTCTGCTCAGCTCGTCTCTCCCCGGCTCCTCAGGCTCATTTTCCCCTGATGTCATCATGGTTTTGGTTTGTTTAATATTTTAAGTTGGATTTCTGCCTCTGCTACCTATGATCTGCGATTAAACCTCTCAGAACTCATCTCTGCTTCACTCGTCTCTGCATCTGAGTCCTCGGGCAACCTCACCACCCATTGCTGAAAGTAATACTTCTTCTGTTCAACAACATATTTCACAACTTAATGGCGCAGTAAATTATTGGCAACTCTGACCCATTCTTAAGTAGAAAAACAAACAACAAATGTATTAGGGATCGAATAATCAGAGAACATATAAGTAAACCAGTCTCTATTTTGTTTTGGGATAATATTCATAGTGCTATTTGTTGGAATAATATTTGGTTTTTACCAAAAAAAACTTTATATCTAACACGTTTGAGAAGTATCTCTAAAGATTTTGCATAGATGCTATCCAGTTAATACTAGAAAATGTAAGTATCACCCAAATGTAGACGTGAAATGTTTTGTTCTGCCAAAACTCTGAAGAAATCATCTATCATCTCAGATGGGATTGCTCGTACACACACATATTTTGGAAATTATTAAGAGAAATTTGGAAATAGACCTTTAAAAGTATAACTATATTAAGTTCAAACCTAGAGTTAGTCTTTTTTACCTATATGTCTTCACATTTGTCTTCCGGTAAGTACTGTAACAATGAAAAAGCCTTAAAGACTTGATCACTCTACTGAATTTAGAATATAATCTGCCAAGTTGTTGTTTCCATTTTTTTTTCTTTTTCTATTTCATATGTTCTTGCCAGCTTTAAGCCATTTCATAGTTTTATATATTCAACTCTAAGCTAATGGGAACTCTTTGCATAAACTGTAAAAAAGAGACTAGCATACGTGGCGCCATCTGCTGGCAGTACCACAGAACTTTCAGAGAACCAGGTGGAGACTACTACAGTCCTGCAATGCCTTACAGTAAAGCGACAGCTATAAACTAAACTGATATAGTTATGTATTATATATATTATATATTTTTAAATGAATTTCAAGAAATAAAATACAAGAAAACGTATTAACATATTGAATCAAACCAATAACAGGCTTAAAATGTAAGGCAGCTGGACTTGCGCTCATGTTTTAAAGACATTTCAACACCTTTCCAAGAGTCTTTATTAATTCTTTTGCCTCGCACCATAGTCTCTAGTAGAAGCGCTGATGTATTAGGCAAGATGGCAGTCCGATAACTGCCACTGAATCAGCCGTCAGAAATAACAACATAGCAGAAGCAGAAGAACTTAGGTTGAAAGTCAAAGCAGCCTTCTAGTGCAAGATTGTCCACTTCCAACATTACCAAACATGAAAGTATGGAGCTAATCTCTCTAGGCAAAGATCACAACATCACCATGTTGCCAGCAGAGAAAGGCAGACGCACAAAGGTACTCAACACAACTGACTACCATGAGAAAAATTATAAATCTACAGTAGCAGCCATTGAAAATGGTCCTTCCCAGTCAAACGGCAGTCGAATGCTAGCCCACTTCCCTCCAACTCCCGGCGAAATCCCCTCCAACTTCCAGCCACTGGAGAGACCCCCCCTTGCATATTTTTTCTACTCTGACTCCCCCTTTCACTGATTTACAGGGTCTGACCAGGAGATGATGCTTCTCTTTAGATCTTAATGTCCACAAATCATGACAGAGAGAATATTTTAGTACAAATATTGATGAAAAAGCCAAGGAACAGCCAAGGACCCATCAAGGAAAGTGAGGAAATTTTGAATGGCTACTACTGTACTAATGGACAGTAACACCTATGTGTTAAGTCTAAAACCATTCCTTTATTGTACATTCTGTTAGCTTGTCTTTCTGCTATATTACTCAATATGATGTGTTGAACTAGATCTGCTATTTGCAAAGCTTTTGTGAGATTTTTTTTTATATAAAGGAGAGCATCAATTTATAAAAACGTTTATTGAATTCTATAAATCAAAGTTTTCTGCCCAACAGCAATGATGAGCTACATGGCAGCATTCTATTCCCAGCTATTGTAATATCTAGCTTAGAGCTCTCAGTCTGGTCAAGAATTGAGTCGACTAAAACCGACTTAAACTATCACGTATCATAATGACTAAAATGCGACCAAGATTAATAATAGTTTTCGTCCTGAAGACTAGGACTAAATCTTATACGGCTGTCTAAAACACCACTGCTGATGACCTCCAAAATGTAATGAATAACATTAACAGCGTGGCTTTTCGGTCTTTCCATTACCTCTGCAGATCTAGTCTCTGTTAGCTCTTTGTCGAGGGCTTTTCGCTTTTCATTGGCCTCCAGGGACTTCTTCTCTAAGGCCAGAGTGAGTTCCTACGTGGGATACATAGATGGCCATTAGCTGAGAAGGAGACAGATAACATTAAAGCTATAAACGTAACTTCTCAACCTTGATCCTGTGTTCATCCTGCTGGGAATATTTAATGATGGTCATTAGGTCGTCATCCTTTTCAGCTGATTCCTTTAAGAAGTTGTCCATCTGCTGCTGGTCCCAGTCCATCTGAAGCCTGAGTTCTTCAAGCTTCTGCTGTTGCTTGAACAAGTCTTTCTGTAGATACAAATGATTAAATATAAATCTATTTTGGCACTGCCACCGTAAGATTTGTTTTAAGTTAATGCAGGATTCAGACCTCTAATATGTCTATCCTCTCATCTGTAGACCTGAGCTCTGTTTCAGTCTGAGCTGTCAGCTGAGCGAAGCGACACGACTCTCTCTCGGTGAGGGCTGACAGATGCTTCCCCACCTCCATTTCTTGTGTGTTTGCCTTGATCAGAGCCTGTAAGAAAACAACATGACTGCTTAAAATCTAATCTTGGCGCCATATCTAAAAAAAACCTTTGTATGAAAAGGCAGAGACCTGCAGACCGCTTCGACCCTCGTTAAAACTGCTGATGAAAACTATGAGGCCACGATAAATAGTTATTTTAAAATATTTAAAACACAAAAAACAAACAAGTGCACTCCCTTGGATGTACGTGTATCACACCCTTAAACTAATATGTTGAAGCATTCGATGACTCATCTCCAATATTCAACCCTAAATAACAGAAATTAAACATAAATCTGCTCATGGAAAAATCAAATACGATTTTTTTATCACGCCTAAAGTCAAGAATAAATATAACGATACAAACATGGGGTGTTGGCGGAATTGTGGATCAATGAATGCTGATCATTCTCACATATTCTGGAACTGTCCTAAAATTCTTAAATTCTGGAAAAATGTGCATGAAACTAGGGCTGCAACTAACGATTATTTTAAAAATCGATGAATCGGCCGATTATTTTTTCGATTAGTCGATGAATCGGACAAAACATTTTTTTTATACTAACCTCTATTCCAAAATAAACATTTTAGACATAACAAACAAGCACACAAGTACAGGTTGCTCATTAACTGGACTGGTGCAATATGAAAAATAAATGTTTGTGTTAAAACTACGCAAACTTACATGAGAAATGTAGCTGTACATCCACAAAATATAGGCTACTTTGTTTCATGAAGTGCAAAAAAGACAGGCATTTTTGTTTTTAAAAGCCCCTAAGGGGTTCAAACAATAGGCCCCCCCATTTCAACAAATTAGTTTTTTTTAGACTAGAAGAGCTCTGCCTTTTAAGACAGGAAAGTATAGCAGTTAAAGTTGCTACTTGAGAAAATACTGAACCATAGAGATAAAAATAGCCCTGTGATTCAAATTATAAATTGTATTTGGAATAAAAATGAGAGAACTAGGGGTGCTAAAAAACACATCCTCCAAAGACAGATATTTACATGGGAATGTGGCAGATAATTCATTGACATATTACTGATCTTGCTGGATTTTATTCTGCTTTACTTCCATAAATTGCAGGATCTTCTTTATTTTATCTTTGCCAGAAGATTTAAACTTTAAAAGCCTTGCCCTCATAATTTGCAAGTTAATTTATTTATAAAGGCTATTTTAATTATTGTCATCAATTTGCACCATCAATCCCGGCGCATGCGCGCTTCATTTGCAGTCTGGACGCTAAAAAAAACATCCTGCGGCTCTGACTGCAGCGCTGAGAGGGATTCCTGCGGGAGAACGGGGTTGGGATGGGGGAGGCGCCTCACGGCAGCAGCTGCCGCTGCAGGACAAGAGTTGGAACGATGCATGCTTTCACGTAAGAGTCTCCAAAAGCCGCCAGTAACACCGTAAAAAGTCGCCAGATTTGTCGCTAGTCGCTTTTTTAAAAAAATAGTTGCCGGAGAGGTCTGAAAAGTCGCTAAATATAGCGACAAAGTCGCTGAGTTGGCAACACTGCAGCGCTGGCTCGCTCTGCCGTTTTTTTTTCTTTTCTTCCCCCGTTTCAGTCAAGTGGCAGTGATGACGGCGGCGGCGGATGACGCATTAATCACGCGACACAACTAATCGATGATGAAATTCGTTGCCAACGCTTTTGAAAGTCGATTTTTATCGATTCGTTGTTGCAGCCCTACATGAAACTGTAAAGAAGATACTGGGATACGATATTCCTATGAACAGTGCGGTGCTTTATCTTTGCAATTTGAACAATATCAATTTACGGGTAAAAGACAGGTATCTGATTAAGACATTGTTAATAGCTAGCAAAAAAGCTATCACGAGGAAATGGGGAAAGGCAGACCCCCTTGTCAAGAACAATGGACTGGAATAATAGAAAAAATCTACATTATGGAACATGTGGAGGAAAATGGACAAGATTCAAGACAAAAGACAGCGACAAAGATTCAAAATAAATAAATAAACTAGATGGGACAAAGGCCAAATAGATGAATAGCTCCCAAGTGAAAGCTCTATGTCACCTTGAGTTCAATGTATAATGTTCATGTACACTGTATTTGTAAAAAAGTGAAAAATACCAATAAAAAAAGAAATGTTAAAAAACATAAATCTGCTGATAATATCTGATTTTAGTTCTTTATTCTTGTATTAACCTCGGACAATAGGTGTATGCATTCGCCAATCGGTTAGTGCATCAAGCAGCCATGTTTTTAGATCACTTATGCATTGACGCTCCCTAACCCTAACCCTTTGTTATTCACTGCTAATGTTTTCTTGGATTTGTTCATTTTTTTTTTTTTTTTTTTTTTAAAGGAAAACAGTCCGATCATATTCAGAGTTCAAACTTCTGAAAGTACTTTAAATTTGAAATTATTCCATACTGTTCAACAAATGATAAGTGTTTTTGATTAAGAGTTATTTTCACTTGAAAGTGCTTTACTGGAGGCATCCATGTTTGTCAAAGAACACTACTGCCACCTACTGGTTTGTGACGTCACGGTGCGGTATCGGCTTTGATCAAGTCCCAGTGCTGTATCTGGTGTTTATCACAGCGCGCTATTATCCAAGTCATCTTGAAAACATTCTTCTTCCAAATGTTGGCTACATATTACGGGTTTTTTCTCTGGCCAGAAGTTCGATGGCAAATCCTCCCTCTTCAAGTTGGCAATCCAACGACCAACCCGTCCGTGGAGGATCAGGAATCAGAAAGGTGGAATAACTCTTTTTTTTTCAACTTTTACCCGATGCATTCCGACATCCAGCTGCCATGCACGTGGGCATTGTCAGTTTCACTATAGCTCTGGTGAATTTCAATGGTGAAGTCCTCTGGAAATCTTCAATAATTGTTGTTGATTTTCGATGTGTCTAGTAGTTCCCATTGATTTTGCTTGTAAAATGGGGAGAATGGCGCTAGGCTTACCGCACCGTGACGTCACTGCTGGAAGATGGCAGGAGGGAGGGGTTACTATGTTTGGGCAAAAATGGCCGCTCCTGGGCTCAGAGATTGCGACAAAAATTATTGTTTCATTTTTTTTTTATTTGAGCAATGCTAAAATACATTAAATTATAGCAAACATATTAGTTTTAGGTATAAATAATGATCCATTTATTAACATTTGTTTTCATTGTGTCATAAGGTTATCTGTCTTAAAGTCGTAGGGAAGCGGCTGTTCCAACTGTTACATTTCTGAATTCTCCCGAGTGGTGCCCGACTTTAAATGAGTGAATAAAGTGAATGTGATTGGTCGATTATCAAGGGGGCGGGATTGTTGTGGCGGAAGGTTCGCAAGCTTTTTGACTGTCGCCGGTTTCTCGGAAGCATCTTGCTAACCAGTTAGCAACTTAGTGCTAGTAGGTTCCCAATGGGAAATTCCATTGGGACCAAGTAGCACTAAATTGGTGACTTAGAAACGACGCTGTCAAGGAACGCTATGGACAGCGGAAACATGCAAGAGGAGGAGAGTTTAGTGTCGGAGGTCGTGGATGAGTCTCCTCCGTCATCCATTTTGTTATTTAGAGGAGGAAAGCGGGGACGAAGATGTTGTGGAAGAGGACGCCAGGGCGGCAGAAGCTTGGTTTGGTGTAGAAGGCTTCCAGCTTCCATGTTTGAGCCCTTGCCTCGCAACGCTGGTAGTTCTGTTAGCTCTACGCCTGCTGAAGACACAGACGTCCATCCCCGTGAACACTGGGACGCAACTCAATGGGAAAGGAAAGGATTCTGATTTCAACCGCTGCGTATATTAGCTGCGACATATGAATCAAGATGCTATGACCGAAAACATTTGATTGACAGATGACCGCTGATATACGATTGGCTGAATTTAGTGTTCAGGCTCACGTAGAACTAACTGGCCTGCATAAAATAACGAAAAGAAACAACTAACTTTTGGAAATTATGGTCTGATAAAGAGTACATTTCTCTATATATGTTTAAGCCAGAATGATTTAAAATTTAAATATGACTTTCCTTCGACTTTAAGAACCTCCCGCCTAAAAAAGAAAATCAACAGCGCATATCAGAGATACGTTAGATTGATGTCAAAATAATAGCCGGTATCTTTACAAAAACCTGTATCGGTTGATCTTTCATAGGAATCTTCCAGATTCCAGGTTATAATTTGATAATCTAGACACATCTGGATCTAAATTCAGATCTATCAGATGGAGAGCACATGTTCTATTGGATTTAGCTCTGAAGTCTGGCAATAGCCCATTTTAAAACTCCCTTCCTTCTTAAAATGATTGACTAGCTAACTTGGATTTAAGACTGGACTCCATGTTATGCTTTAAATTTCAAAATACGTAATCAATTTCTGTTTTTTTGTGTTTTGCAGAAAAACAAATATGAACCATGGATCACTGGGGTCTTCACTAAAATATAACACTAAAGTCCAACAAAGTATTATCTTACTGATATGCAGAGTAATAAAACTGAGTTACTTAATAGAATTTTTCTATCGAAATGTACAGATTATACATCAGAGTTGTAAAATTATCAGCCACAAATAAACAGACATACATTTGTTTCCAAAACACTCACCTCAGTGTCAGCCAGTTGTACCTTCATACGTTTGAGTTTTTCAGTCGTCTGCTCCTGTAGCTCTACTGTTTCCTTTTTAGAGTTGTGCTGATGCAGAAGCTTCATCTGTGCTTCATGAACCTGTTGAGATAAGGATACCAACAAATCAGTAGAGGAATGAGTGCAACAACCACAACCAATCTAGAATCTACGGAGCCCCTCTGATGACATGGTCAAAAAAAATTTTAATTGTGGCCACGAAGTAGTATTTCGTGCGCACGATGTAGTATTTCGCGGCCACGCAATAAGTATAACGTGCGCACGAAATACTACTTCGTGGGCACGCAATAAGTTTATCGTGCGCACGAAATACTTATTAATAATATTAATATCATTCCTGGGCAACTGGGTAAGCAAATCGAGTGCACCCTCTAAGGTCTAAGGCGCGCTCAATTTGCTTACCCAGTCGGTCTCCGCCAGTCACGTGACATTTGTTGCTAAGACGCCATTTTAGGTGGAAAAGGCGTAGTGTAAACAACCGCAGCATAGCTAAACGAAGGACTAAAGGCCAGTTTACATAGCAGCCTGTCCAAGATAAGTCATTACAGTTAACATAAGCCTGAAAACAGGGGCGGATTTATTGATATTATTAATAAGTATTTCGTGCGCACGTTAAACTTATTGCGTGGCCACGAAATAGTATTTCGTGCGCACGTTAAACTTATTGCGTGGCCACGAAGTAGTATTTCGTGCGCACGTTATACTTATTGCGTGGCCGCGAAATACTACTTCGTGCGCACGAAATACTACTTCGTGGCCACAATAAAAAAATTTTTTTGACCATGTCATCAGAGGGGCTCCGTAAGAATCCATCAAGCGGCCATTTGCCAAAAATATTACACAGATGGAGCAAAGAATTCTCTTCGAACTCACATTCTCCAGATTTGTTTTTTTTTTTTATATCGTTTCAGTACTAGGAAGGATACACTTTAAACTTTCGTCCATTTTCTGACACACTTGTCCCAGCTGGGGTCGCAAGGGGTACTGGTGCCCATCTCCAGTTGTCAATGGGCAAGAGGCGGGGTCCACCCTGGACGGGTCGCCGGTCTGTTGCAGACTTTAAACTTTCAGAACAACCTTAATTTTTTGGCCACAGACTCAGCAGTATTATATTTTAATAAGAAAAATATATTTATTTTACTGCATATGAGAAAAAAAAACAGTTACTGTTAAAATCTTTAACTAGACCAGGGATCTTTAACGTTTTCCAGACTGATGGTTAGATGGAGCGGGGACCCCCTAATTATATATATTGTATGAAATTGTGTTATATATAATTGATCCTATAGTCACTCTATTACAGATGGAATAATGTAACTAAGGGTAATTTATCCCTGGGATTATTAAAGTATTTCTGATTCCTGGTTGATGGGACGGGTGTTGTGAATGAAAAGGTGTCCAGCTTGAAAGAGCTCCTGTGTGTTTCTGAATGTGTGCATTGATGACTGAAAGACATCTTCTGCCTCCATTTATCTGGATTACAGTGTTTTAAATTCATGTTAATGTGCTTTAAAGACATTTAAAGACTAAATATATAGTTTGCAAATTAAATATTTAGTTTTTAAATAAGTATTTAGCTCCAAATTAAATCTTAAGTTTGATAAATAAATATTTAACTACAAACTAAATATCTAGTTTGCAAATTAAGTATTTAGTTTTTATTTGAATATTTAGCTCCAAGCTAAATATTTAGTTTGGTAATTAAATATTTAGGTTTTAAATAAATATTTAGATCCAAACTAAATAATCAGTTTGCAAATTAAATATTTAGCTCCAAATTAAATCTTTAGATTGATAAATAAATATTTAACTCCAAACTAAATATCTATTTTGCAAATTAAATATTTAGTTTGGAAATTAAATATTTAGTTTTTAAATAAATATTTAGCTCCAAATTAAATATTAAGTTTGCAAACTAAATATTTAGTTTTAAGATAAATATTTACCTCCAAACTAAATAATCAGTTTGCAAATTAAATATTTAGCTCCAAATTAAATCTTTAGATTGATAAATAAATATTTAGCTCCAAGCTTATTATTTAGTTTGCAAATTAAATATTTAGTTTTAAATGAATATTTAGCTCCAAATTAAATATTTAGTTTGCAAATTAAATATTTAGGTTTTAATAAATATTTAGCTCCAAAATAAAATAATCAGTTTGCAAATTAAATATTTAGTTTGGAGCTAACTATTGAATTTGCAAAGTAAATATTTAGTTTATTTTTAGCTCCAAACTAAACATTTATTTGACAAAGTAAGGTTTTTTAAATGAATGACTGACATGGTGAAAAAATAAATAACCGCCTGCATTTTCTCTTAAAACAAGCTAAATAATCATAAATATTGCTCCTACTTTTTGACTGCTTATCTGCACAAACGGCGCCCCATAGAGTACAGTAAAGCAGCTCTCTGCCAGCAGACGCGGCTCCTTTGATGCTCCTAAAGCGAGTCTGAGCATTAAATTGAAGCAGCAGAAGTTTTTTTGCTGCTTCCAGCGGATACGGTCTAAATGTAGCATCTCGACTGGACATGAACGAGCGCTGCCCGGGTAGCTAATGTGAGTTACCGTCTCCATCAGGTCTTTGGTGTAAGGGTCGAGTGCAGGAGAAGCATAGCGAGGATCCCAGCCTATTTCACTCAATAATAGTTCTAGCTCGGTGTCCTCAATGCCAGGAAGGTGAAAAGCCGCCATTTTCTGCCCTTCTTCACAAAAAAACACAACAAAAAAAAAATTACTGAAACGTCCTGAAACAAGAAAAGAGCAGAGAGTCCTTTCTCTTGTTGATAAAGGCGGTTACTGGTTGCCCGTAGCAACCGCACCTGCTTGTTAACGGTCGCCACAAGAGGGCAGCGCGCGACCGGAAACCAGCTCCAAGCAAAGATTTAGGCTCCAGAGATTCTTCTCTGCAGCTTCTGAGGAGGGTTAGAGCATTCTTTGTTGATACATTTTTTTAAAGCACACAGATGCAAAGAAGACTTATGGAAGCCCGTTTCCGCTACATCAAAGTAAAAAATGCCAAATAGAAAGACATAATTATGAGATTCAAAGTCATAATTTCGAGTTTGAAAATCATAAATATGAAATAAAAAAATCATAATTATGAGATATTCAACTTCCAAACTATATATTTCATAATTATTAGTTTTAGTGTTCATAATTATAGTATTAGTGTTTGCAGTGTCCATATTATCTGTAAAACTCCCTGCATAATTATAATAAAGCAACTTATATGCATAAAAAAGTGGAACACTATGGCCGATAGCCCTACTGCTCCACTTGTGAAAGTAAAATCTGTTGGGCTCTTTTTGGCATCAAGACAATTGCAAGATCTTGCAAAACTATTGCGGGATCTTGCAAAAGTATTGCGAGATTTTGCAATACTTTTGAGAGATCCCACAATAGTTTTGCAAGATCTTGCAAAAGTATGGCGGGATCTCGCAAAAGTTTCTTTTTTGCGAGATCTCCCAAAAGTTTTGCGGGATCTCGCAAAAGTTTATTTTTTGCGAGATCTTGCAATACTTTTGCAAGATCCTGCACTACTTTTGCGAGATCTTGCGAAACTATTGCGGGATCTCGCAAAACTATTGCAGGATCTCGCAAAAGTTCTTTTTTCCCCTCCATGTCCCTTTAGGGGCTCCGTAGTAACCCTTATTACCAGTTTAAATTGTTTGAACAATTAAATCTTAGACTTTAACTTAGACAATAACCTTCTGTTTATTAATGACATTATCATTCATACATACACATATGTAAGCTTGTAATAACATCCAAAACAAACTGAAATAAAGACCATAATTCAATTAAATTAATACTGAACAATGAAACAGTCTTGATATTCCATATTTTTCACCTCTAAATGAATCTATTGATCTTAAAAGACAATATCCACAGAGTAAATCTTGCAGGTTTTATATTTCAAGAATTTATTTTGAAAGGACAAATAATGAAGCAAACATCCTAAACCCAAAGCTCTTAAAAAACAACAAAAAACAAAGATTAAAGACACTAAAGCAAATGGAAACTTTTATTTTTCCTTAACAATTCTGTTTTAAAAATCCCAGTGTTTTAAACTGGCCTGACACACATCATGATACATCATGATAGATGCAAAAAAAGATTTGTATTAAAATACAATATCCCTTTTAAAAAGCTATGAATTCACATTACACTTCCAGATCACATCCACACGCCTTTAAAGACGACCATTACCAGAAAAACACAAGAGTCAAGATCCTTTCCAGGTGGCTTCTAACATATCAGCACTACAGGCCAAGTCCTCAAACTAGTCAAGCAGAACGTACAGACATGTTTACGTAGTCGCTGTAAAACATTTGAGTCCTGAGTGTTTAAAAGGCATGATGATGACCGTGTGGCGCTCTGCACAGGCCATCCAGTCGTGAAACTCTGCCACCCTTAAACCGCCGTGCTTTTGGTCCCAATGTGCTGCCGTGCAAACTCTACAAAGTCATCAAGAAGGACGGGCCAGGCTCCTGTTGATGAAAACCGAAAGCAGAAAGTGTGACTTTGCAGAACAGTCGAAGTTTTATAAGCGAGCAGTTTGACTGACCTTCTTCGTCGTAATTTGACATGTCGTCAGTGATCATGGTGCTGAAGTCTAGTAACAGATTCCAGGTGTCCTTGGGAATTGATTTTTTGTGGTGCTCCTGTAATCAAATTAGACAAATAAGCAAATATAGAGATTTTTTTTTTTTTTACTGTCTTGATGCCCTGCTTTGATGACACAAAAAAAAGGTCGACAAAGGCCACAGATGCACCACGGACAAGTAATTTACGCAGGCGAAAGAAAAAAATGTTCCAGTTAAACTCCTTCTGTTTTCTTAGTTTATTTCTCCTCAGGCAAACAAACAGAAAAGGACAAACATTTCCTTCATGCTTCTCTTGCGCCGATAAAAAAAAAAAAATACGCCCACCCCACTATTTATAAAAAGTAATTCACCCAAATTTATCAGAACTAACCAGAAATAAGGGAGCATAACTAAATAACCAAAAAAAAAAAACATAACCTCAAAACAGATATCAAACAATAAAGTAGAATAAACTAAGCTGGATTATCCACAAAAATAAGAAACTTTGTTAATTATTAACAAAAAATAAGTGGCTCACAGCTACACTCGTAGTAATCTGGTGGTAAAGTGAGTCTCGCAAAAGACACGAATTTAAAAAATATTTTCGCAATAAGTTGCCTATAAATAAAACCCCAAATAACCAAGATCCATCTTATATCAGAGATCTGATTAGAGATGAGTATTATTACGGATATACAGACACTACTACTCTAAATGATACTCCTCATTGATTCGGTATTTTATCAGTACTCTTATAGATACTTTCTTTTTCTTTTTATAAAAAAATATTAAAAATAATAAGTGCCTGCAGTTTTTTTTTACATTTATAACAAAGTCACATGACATGAATACAAGCAGTACACACACACACATATACAGTGGTGTCAAAAGTACACATATTTGTAACTTAAGTAGAAGTAGAGATACTGCAGTTTAAAAACACTCTGGTAAAAGTATCAACTTGACCTCATTACTCAAGAAAAAGTGAAAAAGTATGTGCTCCAAAAACTACTTAAAGTACAAAAGTAACCTTAAAAAAAACAGCCAGATGCCACTATATGAACTGAAAGCTCAATTTTACGACTATTTCTAAAAATTCTTTGAGATAGGGCCAAGGATGAGGGAGGTCTTGTTGGTCTCCGTCTCCCGATACGCTCTCGCCTGTGTCCGACCTTTCAGACCTTTCAACATCTTTTTCTGAATCCCACATTGTAGCATGGCATAGACAATTCACGTTAGCAGTTTGAAGATCACCTGCTTGCTTCTGATGGTTTCCTTTAGCTAACCAATGACTGTTTGCGTTCTATGACTCATCCAATGACACTAGTTTACACTAGATGTGGGTGGAGCCAATGATCTGAATTGGATGGAGCACATGACGGGAAATAAATATTTAGAAACATTAAACCGAAGCCAAGAGTAACGAATAACGTTTGTTTTAAAAATGTAAGAAATAGAAAGTACAGATACTTGTATAATGAGTAATGAGTAGAAGTCAGAAGTGGGAAGAAAAATAAGTAATGGAGTAAAGTATAGATACCTAAAAAGCGTACTTAAGTACAGTAGCAAAGTATTTATTTTATATATATATCAATAAAACTACAAAACACTACACACACTATTACAGAGGCTAAAATACTTTATCTTGATAAAAAGTATTTTGTATATTTGTAGGAGTGAGGAATATATATAGTTTTGATAATTGAACTTTTATTGATCTCACAATGGAAAAATTCATCCCCTGCATTTAATCCCCATGGGGATCAGTGGGCTGCCATTGTGTGGCGCCTGAGGATCAGTGTGGGGTTACAAAGTTACACTCTAGGTGAGATTTCTTGAATAACTGCTTTTAAACAATAAATGCAAGGAGTAGAGCAAGGAGGTTTCGCATCAAGTATCAATGTATATATATATATATTAGTGCTGTCAAAATTATCGCGTTAACGCGAGGCCATTTTAACGGCGATAATTTTTTTAACGTGAGATTAACGCTATGTGGTTTTATGGTACAATTTTCCAAGTACATCCCGCTGCTGCCTGCGGGAAGGCGGGGCTATTTTCCCCCAGTCTATGCATTTTCCATAGGCTTCGAGAGCGGAGCTCCTCAAGGAAAAAAGAAGCTCATACACTGGGTAGCGCTAGTGCCTTTTCTTTAAGCCCCACCACCAACAAACAAGTTGAGTGTCTGGTAACTAGTAGCAACCTGAAATACGCTGAGAAAACTGATTACTGAGGTGAAATGGAATCTGCTACGGCACTCTTGCTGTCTGTGTACGCCACAGGTCGGTATCGTGTGTGTGTGTGTGTGGGTGGGTGTGTGTGTGGGTGGGTGTGTGTGTCTGTGTGTGTGTTCTCATTTTTGTTAAGAGGCTGAAAAGTAACTTTCTAGAGCATAGACTACCTCCATCTAGTGATGTCGGTCTATTGATTTTGATGTATTGATTGAAAATTGTTCATTATTATCTTGGTTAATTAACATCTAATGTTAACTCTACTACATTTTATAGCAGTAGGGTAAAATGCTTGTCTTTGTTCAAAAGACTGTATTAACTGTAGACTGTCTTTTACATCAGCCTGTTTTCAGGGCCTTTTTTTGGCTACATATTTGTTATTTTTTGCTACATGCCTCCCCATCTTCTTGCCATATGTTTCTATGGCATAAATCAGTGTCTGTGACCTGTTTTCATTTTAAAAAAAGAACATTGGCACAAACCTAGCCTGTATGTATTTTTTGTATGTCATCGAGAGTATTTAAATGATTTTCAATCAGAAAAAAAATTTGCGATTAAAATGCGATTAATCGCGAGTTAACTCAGGCATTGATGCGATTAATCGCGATTAAAAAAATGTAATCGATTGACAGCACTAATATATATATATATATATATATATATATATATATATAGGCTAACACAAAATCCAAATAAAAAGAAGTCAGTGTCAGCTTACGAGTAAAAACTGGTTCCACAAATCCAGGAACTTGAATCTCCCAGCCAGGACTAAATTCCAGTATGCGATCGCCATTTCCAGATCTGCGATAAGAAAGACAAACGGAAACAGTAGCAGGTCAGAATGAATTCACCCTGATCAGCATTGCATGCTGGGAAGTAAAGGACTCTTACCCAAACCCTTCTGACCCGGATTCTTTGCAAAATCAAACGTAAACTGGTAAAAGCCTTTAAATTTTCCGTGATCCTTTAATTCATGCTCCATCTTCGGCAGCTGGCATTTTAGCTTCTCGATGCTGTCGCACCTTAGAAAGCACAAAACAAAATCCTTGTTTTCAGCGTCTCCTGGTTGAAAGATCAAAACATGGAAAAACGCTTAGAGCAAAGACGATAATATATTCTCACCCCAGATCCGTCATGCCTTCTATGAACTCCTGTTTGGAGAATTCGCACTGCGTTGCTGCCCTGAACTTCCAGGCTATCAGAAGGACGCTCATGCTGGCAGGATTCAGACCCAGGTCATCGCAGAACTGCTGGATCCCATCAACGCCTATTTTGTTTTGATCGTGAGGTTCTGAAAGGCAAAAGAAATCAAAGCCAAATGATTCTTAATATGCTGATCAGTACATTACCGTAAATTCCAGACTATAGGGCGCACCTGATTACAAGCCGCACGCTCAAATTTTAGAAAGAAAATCAAATTTGTACTTTTAGAAGCCGCACCGGATTTTAAGCCGCAGGTTTCCCACGTTGTATGAGATATTTACAAATAAAGATATTACACGTGAGCATTTTTTTAACGTTTGATTTAATCCGTATGATAAAACGAACAAATACGGTACATATTATGAATGCTTTTTTTTTTCAAACTACCTGTAACACATTTAAATATACATATGTGTCAGTAACACGCAAATAACGCTGCATATACCGGTACTTTTAATTGAACAACGCACAGAACATTTAACCTGACGTAGTCCTACTCAATTCTAGTCAGAATATGAGTCTGATACTGCTCCATAAAGCTGTGATTATGGGGCGTGTTTCGAACGAACCAGGAAAAAAAAATGCCTCTGCACTCAATTGGATAGACCTAAAAACAATAGGAGCAACGGAGTGCGTGACGTATGTTAAGCGATGCATTTTCAACATGCGTCGCTTTCTTTTCAACAAATGCCTTGATCGCGTTTCTCTGTTCCTCTTTTAAAATTAATTTGCTGTCGATATCTTCTAGAACAGACCTAATAGCAGAATCTACACACCTCAACTCTCCAGCGGCAGCCATTGTTGTTGTCACCCAAGCGCGCTTTGGTGACGTGGTTGATTACGTTACTGTTGATCATCTGTCCATCATCGTATAAAGCCCGCCCTGACAATTCGATTGGCCCGCCAGATATTGTGCTAGCATACTCGCGCTACTATTGAGCAATGCCAGACCGAACTTCCCGACCTCAAACGTTGTGGGCGGGACTAAGTTTGGAATGGCACCCAGGCTACAGAACATTGCAGCCGACTAGGAAAAGTCAATCACTTTCTTCTTCCTCCTGCGCACTAAAACCCTCAAAGTCTGAATGGAACAGCTTCAGGATGCCGTCACTGACTTCAGTCTCATCCTTGTCGCTCTCACTTGAGCACTCGCGCTCCTCTTCATCCCGCAGCAGCCCAGCCTTCCGAAACCCGGCGGTGATGCCGGATGTTTTCACACGGCTCCACGCATTAAGAACTGTGAATACTCATCAATTTTATTGGTCTGTTTTTCGCGCCATCAAAAAAAAAACCTGTATTAACCGCATTGTATTATCGGCCGCAGTGTTCAAACAGCGGGGGAAAAGTAGCGGCTTATAGTCTGGAATTTACGGTAATTAGTCTGACATGTAATGTGTGGATTGCTTGTTTTTTAACCAAATTAAAATAAAAAATGGTGATTTGTGAAACACAATATGAGAAGAACGCAATTTGTAAAAATTTAATTTAAAAATCTAAAATCTATTAAAAAAAATTATAAAATCATACATTTGAAAAAAGTAACTAACATTTGTAAATAAAAAAAAGAAAATGTGAAAAAAAAAAGAAATTGGCCAAGTTTCTGCCAAACCCTTTTTCAAAAATCTTAAGAATTATAAGAATGCTAGCTTCGTCTAGCTTCCAGTCATTCTGGGACAAATGCAGACTATTAAAAGAGGCCATGAAGTCTGTGTCCATGACTTAAAGTAACTGAAAGCTCTGCCTCTCATTCTACTTTTAGAAACTCTGAGAACCATAAGTTCAAGCAGCTAAAGAGGAGAAGCTAAACTAGGTGACATATGATCTTCGCTTCGAATCCCTCATCAGAGCTGCTACTGAAGCAGTCTGCTTAAACTGAGGTCTCTCAGTTCATTTCCTTCTATGAGTTTTATGAAGTAGGGGAAGGAAGTTATCGATTAATTAATTAATCTATAGTGGATTAATTGATCGACGATTAATTTTAGTAGTAATTTTCTCTTATATCAAGATGATCTTTCTATAACATGGCGAATAAAAACAAAAATATAATCATTATAGTTTAACTACCGTGTTTTCCAGACTATAAGCCACTACTTTTCTTTCCATTCCTTTGAACCATGCAGATTATGAGAAGGTGCAGCTTTTCTGTGGACTTAAACATGGCTGGTAGTTCCGGCGCACATCTAGCAGTCTTTTCCAAACCATAAAAACTCAATCTTTTCATTATGGTTAAACATAAATACTGCTCTCCGCACCGTCATCTGCAATGGTTGTTGTTTTTCTTGCCACTTCTGCGTAGCAAGACGCATAATAGTGACGTTTGTCGGGTATTAATGACGTTCAGGTTGGATGAATCTGACCTGGCTGTCCAAACACAGGTCGCATTTGAAAAGATCAGATTCAGAACCACAAAGCCAAGTGGCCTGGGTTGGATTGGAAAAAAAATAGGATCTGTGTTGTTCAGACAGCCATGAAAAGATCGGATCCAGGTTGCATATGGGCCAAAAAAATCGGTTTTGGGTCACTTCAGGCTGCAGTGTGAACGTAGCCTTTGAGACGGCTTCACAGTTGCGTCTCCAGTCTAGTTTGTTGTCCAGGAGAACACCGAGGTATTTGTACTCCTCCACTACCTCCACTTCCTCTCCCATGATGTGAACAGGTTTCAACTTGTATCAAATCGTACCCTTTGTTTTGTTGACATTCAGGATCAGATTGTTGTTTCCACACCACATCCAAAGCGGAGTGGTGGCCTATTGTTTAGGGCATTGCGCTTGGAATCCAGAGGTTCTGAGGTTGAGCCCAACTCCCACAGACTGCCACTCTGGGTCTCGGAGCAAGACCCTTAACCCCACACTACTCCCCAAAGGGATTGGTTAAATGCAGAGAGGGAATTTCTTTCTTTGCTTTGTGAAGTTGAATTTGAATTCAAATGACACAAAGCAGTTGTTCACCAGCTCTCTGTACTCAGCTTCTTGTCCATCGTTGATGCACGCTGTATTATAGGCCGCAATGTTTAAACAGTGGGAAAAAAGTAGCGGCTTATAGTCCAGAATTTACGGTAATTAGTCTGACATGTAATGTTTGGATTGCTTGTTTTTTAACCAAATTAAAATAAAAAATGGTGATTTGTGAAACACAATCTATTAAATAGATTAAAATCTATTAAAAAATTATAAAATCATACATTTGAAAAAAAGTAACTAACATTTGTAAAAAAAAAAAAAAGAAAAAAAAAAGAAATTGGCCTTTTTTTTTTTAAATCTTACTATAAGAATGCTAGCTTCGTCTAGCTTTCAGTCATTCTGGGACAGTGACTGCAGAGTCCTCCCAGTATTTCTGCAGATGACATGACTCTGTATGGTACTGGAACTCAAACACGTACAGAGTAAAAAGGAATGGAGAGAGTACCGTCCCCTGTGGTGCTCCTGTGCTGCTGACTACTTGATAAGACAGCTGATCCTTCAGTCTAACAAACTGTGTCCTGTTTGTTAGGTTCCTAATTTGACTACTTCTTAATATTTTCAGATAGAGGAGCCGCAGCATTTATCGTGCAATTTCTAGAAGATTTTTTACAGAATGAAAAACCTGGTTAAACTAAAAATATTCCGCTTGAGGAGTTCTGGATAGAACACAATTATGGACAAAAGAATTTATTTTTATCTTAAATTCAAAAGATGCATTTATTTTAGTTTTCATTACAATTTTGGTTAGATTAAATTAGATGAGCTTTATTGATCTCACAGCGGAGAAATTCAATTGTCACATATTGGCATAGAAGTCAAAGGTGCAAACAAGGAGGAAAAAGGTACATTAAGAATAAACAATAAACAATATATATATATATACAGTATATCAATGTAAATAAGGATGAAGGTGCAAGTGTACATGTATCGCACACAATGAAAATAAAAATAAAAATAAGAAATAAAGAAATAAGAGATAAAAAATAAAAATATGTACAATCCGGATGGCTTATATACAGCTGGATTTACTTTTACGTTGAAGTGTATTAGGTAAGGAGCAACAGTGAGGTAGTGGTATGACTATTCTATTCACATATTGATGGTATGGTATGGTATAGTTACTGCTATGTCAGCTAAAGGCTATTTTAGAGTCTCTATAGTTCAGTTAAAAATGAATTGATTACAGAATTAGTTGAAGATTATCTCAATAACTGATTAATCCAGACTAATTGTTTCAACTTTTCTGATGTTTCAGCTGACTGCCCTCTGATTGAGCTCAATCAGCGGACTGCGACTGCTTGTTGTCACAGACTGAAAAAACTTCTGCAAATTAAAAAGGATTCCCGTATAAACAACAAATGTTATTTCTCTATAGAATAAAAAGGAAACAAACATGGAGATGAGAAGTGTCTGTTCTTTACCTCTGTATCGGTTGTACAGCTGCTCAAGCTTCTTCTTGTCTAAAGCCCCCTTAACATTTGAGACGTAGAGCTCCGGATTCTGGAAAAACTTGTCGGTGGCGACGTCTAGCTTCCAGTCATTCTGGGACAAGCAGGTTACAGCCGTCTTCTCATTAGTTTGAGTGAAAATGATAAACTGTCGAACTTTATCCTTCTGAAAGGACTTCAGCTTGTTCTGCGTGAAGAAATGAGACGACAAAAAGTGTTAGCTCTACAGAACGAGCGATTTGGGTTTTTTAAGAATGATGCTGCTACGATTATTTTGACAAGTCTAAATGATATCTGTCCAGCCGTTATATTGCTTTTTCTTCCTCTATTCATGAGCTTCATATTAGGGATGCACGATATAATCGGCCCCCTATCGGTATCGGCCTGTATCGGCCTTAAAACTGAATATCGGACATCGGCCACCCCACCGATATTTAACCCGATATTTGATCAGCTTCTGAGTTTCTAAAGTCTAAAAAAAAAAACAAAAAAAAAAACATACTACTTCTTCTTCTTCCTCAAAAGCTTCTTTTTTATAGACTTAAAAACTTCTAAAGACGAGGGAAAAAATATTGATACATTAATATATCACAATATCTTCATATGCTGATATATTGCCATTTAAAAACACCATATCAATCTCTTTTACTAATGAAATATTGCTATATGTCATCGTTATGCTACGAAATCCCCCGAAAATTCACAAAATGTTGCCATATTTTTATATGTTGATATATTGACGCGGTATCGATCTATTTTACTAACAAAATCTCACAAGAATTTGCGAAATATCACGAGAGTTTGTAACAGAACGATGAAATTTCACGAGATTTTGAAAGTAAAATAGATCGCTACCGCGTTTTTAAAAATCTATTTGATATCAGCATATGAAAATATATTTGATTATATTATTTTTTTTAAAGTGTCAGAAATGGATAACAAAACTGCTATTTTCAAAGACTACTATTTTTGTCCAGCTTTAACATCGGTATCGATATCGGTTATCGGCTACATGAGTTTTAAAATATCGGCATATCGGATATCGGCCAAAATCCCAATATCGTGCATCCCTACTTCATATTGTATGAGGGCATGGCAGCTGATTTCAACTCAACATTTCTTACGCCATAGATGTTGAGCAAAAAAACACAAAATGCAAAGTTTGTCTGAAACTTGGATCCAACATCCAACCTTTTCCACCACCTACAGCACAACCACACTGATGAGTTCAAAAATTGGTCAAAAAGCTCCATTACGTTTGTGCAAAAACGTTTTCAAGAGAGGAAACCTTTTTCTCCTTTTCAATGAGACATTGTTGAATATTTAAAACTGAACGATTACAAGACTTTAATACTTAATTCAAACTTGCTGTTATAGATTCTCAGTCATCTAGATCATAGTTGTTCTAAAAAAGTTGAAAAAACATCTAGGAAGCTTTTTCAAATCAAATCTATAATCTTACTCTATAAAGCCTTGAACTCAACGCTATTTCTGACATTTTGATTTGAAAAAGCTTCCTGGATGGGAAGAGAAACGACTTCAAACTTGGAAACAAAGTCCAGCGGATTGTTTTTTTTATTTTTTTTTGGATGATTTAATTCAAAGTAATATGTATTTGATTTGTTCAATAAATAAATAAAAAAAATAGGTCAGCTGCATTTCCTAAATATGCCATTATTTTCAGATAGAGGAGCTGCAGCATTTATTGTGCAATTATTGTTATCAAGTGTTAATTAATTCCTAATTTTATATTTTTGTATTATTTAGAGAGTTTATTTACAGGTTAATAAGTGTTGATCCTATTTCTTTGTTTTCTTATTTTTCTTATTTATTTTATTTATATTTTGTTCTGAGGTATGACAGGAAGTGATGTGGATCAGTCCACTTTCCATAAGCGTAGGGGCCTGGGAAAGGACCAGCAGGCATTTTAGGTTTGGGCCTACGGTTTTTTACCAGAGCAAGAGATGTAGGACAAAGGAAAAGTTTGTACTCTTTAATTGTTGGCTGAAATAGAAAATAAACCATCCAGAACGATCATCCAGCTTGGACACGGAACCGTCTTTTTGCCTGCGTATAGAAACTTGACCCCAGTGTCTTAGTAGTGGCCCTAAAGGAACTTTAATTGGATGTTTGGCTTGGCCAACAATCACCACTACACATTTCATCAGTAACATATGCTCAGTGCTCACACACCACAATTTGAATGTCCCACTTTTAAACAAACGTATATACAAACTGTGATTTGTGGGTCAATTCCAACATATAGATACCTCAGATGCCAGAACTTTAGGCTTCAAAATCCATTTTTAAATTCTAATTTGGATACTTCAGTGGTTTTAGGAAATGCATGTTAACAAGAAAATTGCCTAAATGCAGACATTTGATGGGAACTACTTTTTCTTCTGTCTGGTAAATGTGTATTGTGTCAAACAGAAAAGTTTGTGTAGATATCAAAGTATGTACATATTCCTGCCTTATCTAATTAAGATTTTTTTTTTTCTTTCAAGAACACACTTTTGTAATTCATATTTGTCCAAAAATAGGAAAGAGGTTGAAGTGATCTAGGCCTATCCCCTTGCATTCATTTCAACCCAAAAAATAAATCTGTAGGACAATTTAAAGAGACTCCCACACCATATCAAACAACACTATTAAATTTCCGTTGTTTCAAATAAAGAAAAGGAAAATAAACCACAACAGAAAAGACAGCAACAGAGTTAATTTCTCATTTAGTTTCAGAGCTGTATGTATCTAGCATTCTACTCTGAAATCCTTTTAAATCTTACCATTGAACTACATGTTTTCATTTCATCACTAGATTTATTTCATAATTTAACTCCCTTAGTTGACAGAGAGTGATGCTTTGAAGGGAAAATGTACATGCCCTTATCTTAAACAAAATCTGTACACTTTTTTGTGGTACTATTTGATGTATCAGTTAACTAAATCTCTAAATTTTACTGCTTTAAGTTTAATTCAGAGTTGGTTTGTTGGCTGTCTGTAATCAGACTTACATACTTTGTGTTGTTTCTATAAGATGTAAAAAAAAAACAAACAAACAAATATTTAGATATTTGGAAGGAAAATTCAATTAGAGTCACCCAATATTATTCATTAGTGTTTTTCAGACATGGCACCTCATTTTTTCTGTTGTGGACGCCTTTCTGCTCAAGCAGATAAATGCTTTCCTCCCCATCAGCCACTTAGGGCTGCAGAAGTCTGTTAAACACCAGTTTACTGAGGCAGGGAAACCCCTAAACATGCAGGACAGGTCTGAAAACCACTGTTATAGAGCGGTTAGATTATTTGGTACATTCAACAAAAACATTGGGCTTGTTTGCAAAAAAAAAAAAAAAAAGTATTTTACTATTGGATTGGAGGAATCAAACATATTTGGGAAGATGGTTAAAAGGGAAAAAATCTTTTAACACTGATATGAGTCAGTTCCTTTAAGATCGAAAATAGGGATAAAAGCTCAGTGCAAAAATTGACAGCCCCTTTATAAATATGTACTGACTGTGGCTTAGTGAGAAGAATAAAAAAACAATAAAATAATCACCTATGATTTAATGGTTAATAATATAACTATTTATGTACGTTGCTTCGTTTTTAGCACAAAGAGATTAGCAATCATATCTAACAAGTGCATTCACTTCCCATTTTAATTAGAGCCCACTTTATGGCAAACCTTATTCGATCATTTGCCTTAAACAGAAATTATCTTTTTGTCCATTCATAGCAGCGACATCATCATAGGTGTGTTTTTAATTGATATATTTAAGAAGAGCCAAATGGCTTGGCATTTCCTTTCACTCAGCAGCTAACTAAACATTAAATGCTGAGCTAATGCTAACCTCGCACGAGCTAAAACATTTATTCTATTGACTCGACAGTTTCTCTACATGAAAACCGCTGGTATTCTAATAACTAACCCGAAAAGACAACAATTTCTTACCATGTTTGCCTCGAAAAGGCTTAATATTTCGTTTCCATCCAGCTAACGAAATAAGTTTATACACTTTAAACAAGCCTTTTTTGCTTCCGGTTGCAACACGACACTTCACAATAAAAGTAGAACACAACACACCCGTGACAAACGTCAAACTTTATTTATTTATTTTTTGTTTTATTATATTTTTCACTTGATGGATTTGTGTAGTGGTTTAGCTAAGAAATATTAGTTGAATTCTAATTGTTTTTGTTAAAACATTAAAGCGTTGTAAAACAGGCCGGAAGTATCGATGGTGCGTTCAATGTTTACTCGGAGCTTACGTCTGAAAGCATTTATTTTATTGGAGTACATACCTGTATATACTTCACTATGTAAATAAAAATAATAATAATAAAAAACTCAATTATATTATGATATTATATAAACCGCCCTTCTGGCAGTTTATAGAGTAGTGGAATACAGACTATATTATCTATTATTCCCCAGGAACCGTTATGAAACATAATTAAAACATCGACATATTGCAAGAAAAAAATGGAAAAAGAAAAATATAGAAATATAAAAAAAATCTATGGCAAGAAGTTATACGTAGAGATGTTCTAACCTATGCAATAAATTTAGTTTTTACTGCTTTTGAAATAATGGAAGGACTTTCATAAAGATATTATATTTTTTTTATTATTGAACTTAAATGTATGTATATAATGTTTAGTAAGTAGTACAGTGAGGTTGATGACGAAAAAGGACTATATAAGCTAGCTGGCTAGCTCGCCGCGCGGACGTCATTCTTTCCGGAGGTACCATGAACGCAGCACAAGCTGCTTCCTGGTCTTTTCGTGCCTCTGAATGTTTTCAGCGGCTCTCCGGAGATTTCAGGAGAAATGGCGATCTTACCGATACCGCTTCGTGCCTTGGGTTGTGTTTAACCTGCCTAAGAATGAGAAAACCCTGCGACTGGTGGCGGATCGCTCGGAAGACAAAGTGGTTTCAGATGAACAGGTCACTGAGAGTCTGCAGAGGCTCTTTAGGGCCCTCCTGAGGAGCAGCGGGGGGCTGCTACCTGGAGACCACAGGGGCCCAACACATCAGGAGCAGAAGGAAGGAGAAGTTCTGTTTCAGTCTCTGGGATTCTGTGTTGAGAGGAGGCCCAGTTCTTTACCCTCTGCAGGGACTGGCGTGTTTGTGGTCAAAGGAGTTGTTCCCAAAGGAGCTCCAGTTGTCATGTATCCTGGCACAGTGTATCAGCCCTATGAGCCCATCCTCCTTCAGTCCATCAGGAACCCCTTTGTATTCAGGTGTATTGATGGCGTCCTGGTTGATGGGAATGACAAAGGGATCTCCAGAATGGTGTTCAGGTCATGCAGCGGCAGAGACAGAATGGGTCCCTATCTGACCAGTGACACCAGTTGGTTGACGGACAGTCCACGTAATCCACTGGCTGTTGGCCAGTATGTCAACAACTGCTCCAACCAGAGGCCTGCTAACGTCTGCTACCAGGAATACGACGTCCCCAAAAGCTTTCCCATTGAGCTCCGCCAGTTTCTGCCAAACGTCAACTACAGCCACTGTACCCAGAGACCTCTGCGCTGTGTTGTCCTTGTGTCGCTCAGAGACATACCAGCAGGAGAGGAGCTCTTCTCCAACTACTACACCATTGTGCGCTGAAATATTTATACTTTCTTTAAAAATAAAATAAGCAATAAAAAAAAATTTGTTCACTTATTTTCCCAGGGCATGATGGTTTGTACTGTAGGCCTACCAACATGGTTCTATATAGGGGCCAGAACCCCTTTAACATTGGTCCTTGGCCCCTGAACTGAAAGCATACTCAACAGAAATTAAAATACCCTGGAAAAAATCCAAATCTAGATAAGTAATTTCTTCGCAAAATAAGTGCATTTGTTCTTGGATTGAGGAGGTAAAAGAGACATTTTGCCAATGGAAGACGATAATTTACACTTAAAATAAAAAAAAACACACAATTGCATTGTCTTATTTCAATTGCATGTTATCTAATTATCTTATTTTAAGAGTAAAAATACTCATTCCATTAGCAAACTACTCAAATTAAGGGGTAAATACACCTAATTTAAGAAATTTTCACTTATTGCTAGATCATCTTTTCAGTGTAGAAATAAAATAATCTGGTAAAAAAAAAATTATCTTTGATTTTAGCAGATAAGACCTATTAGGGGAGTGGCTGCCTATGGGTTAGAGCAGGGGTCACCAACTTTTTTAAAAGAATAGTACACCCAAAACATGATTAGCCTTCATTTTCTACTCACCCCCATGCTGAACAACACTCTGGAGTACTTTTTTGATATCTCAAATGCATCTGGAGATCTGGGAGGCTTCTTGCTGTCTGCTGACATTCAAATAATGGAGGTCTATGGTGCCCGAGACAGAAAGGTCCATAAAAGTCCACAAAAAACGTGTCAATATTCCTCCATACTGCTCGTCCAATGTATTCCAAGTGTCCTGAGCGGGTAGCGTCCAGAATTTACTCGAAACAAAGTCATTTAGAATGTTTTAGAGCATAAACAGTAGTGTATAGGAGTTCCTAAAAGCGCGTTCACGAGTCTACGGAAACCACGGCAGACCAAACCAGATGAAAGTGCGCATTCAGCGTCTGCTCTGCCGATAATGCAAGCGTAGAAGAAGAAATGTGCTGTTTACCTGCGCAAAGAAAGAAACAACGAATGAAAAATGTCCGAGGACTTCAGTGTTGAGGAAGAGCATGAGTTCTTTGCCGAGCTAAATGCGCACTTTCATCTGGTTTGGTCTGCCGCGGTTTCCGTAGAGTCGTGAACTCGCAGGCGCGCGCTTTTAGGAAATCCTATACACTACTGTTTATGCTCTAAAAACATTCTAAATGACTTCGTTTCGAGTAAATTATGGACGCTACCCACTCAGGACACTTGGAATACATTGGACGAGCAGTATGGAGGAATATTGACACGTTTTTTGTGGACTTTTATGGACCTTTCTGCCTCGGGCACCATAGACCTCCATTATTTGAATGTCAGCAGACAGCAAGAAGCCTCCCAGATCTCCAGATGCATTTGAGATATCAAAAAAGTACTCCAGAGTGTTGTTCAGCATGGGGTGAGTAGAAAATGAAGGCTAATCATGTTTTGGGTGTACTATTCCTTTAAGGCTGAGGGCTACTTTATGGGTACTGAGTCATAGGACAGGCTACCAATACTGACCTATGAACTGGAGGAGTCGGCGTTCACCTGAACTTCATAGATAATAAACATATTTCTATTGTTTCTTTTCATTTTTAATTTGCTTTTAGATATTCTCATTATGAAATCAATATAAATCCTCAAATGTTCTAATTTATTGATATGATACAATGCTTCATAATAAGAGTTTCAGTAAAAAATAACATTTCAGATTTAGTCCACTGGTGAATTGTTCAGTTTTCAAAAGATGCTGTGGGCACCCCATGTTGTCCTTGAGGGCCCCTTGGTGCCCACGGGCACCACGTTGGTGACCCCTGGGTTAGAGCATAAAGCTTGGAATCCTGAGTTTCTGAGTCGAGCCCCACACTGGAAAAACGATCCAGAGTATGTCTTAAAGTAGGTGTATTTACCCTTAATTTGCGTAGGTAAATGAGATAGTTTGCCAATGGAATTAGTATTTATTTCTCTTAAAATAAGATAATTAGATAATATGCACTTGAAAAAAGACAAGGCAGTTGTGTTTTCTTATTTTAAGTGTAAATTGTCTTGTTCCACTGGCAAAATGTCTCTTTTACCTCCTCAATCCAAGAACAGAGGCACTTATTTTAAGAAAAATGACTTATCTAGATTTAGATTTTTCCAGTGCACTCCCACTTGGACCTCTGAGCAAGACACTTAACCCCACACTGCTCCCTGGGGCCCCACAATGGCAGCCCACTGCTCACCAAGGGGATGGGTAAATGCAAAGGTAAATTTTCTTCACTGTGAGATCAATAAAGTAAAATTATTATGACAATTTAGTAATAGAATAAGGTCAGTTAGATTTAAAAATTATTTAAAAAGTGAGTAATAATCTTATTCTAAGGGCAAACATAATGGACTTCAAAGCTAATTTACTAGCGTGAGGCCAGTGTTTTTTTTTTTTTTTGAAGGCACAGAACAGATCAAGAGGGCTTCATTTAGTACGGAGGTCTTCATCAGGGGTCCATCACCCCTAAGGGGTCCACAGAGGTACTGCATGGGGGTCATGAAAGTTTTGGTTGATTAGACTTTTTTTAAATATATATTCCCCCCTGCAATTTTTTCCACTAATTGAAATGTCTTTAAATCCACATTAAGATGAATTCAACACACTGTAGTAAACAGATAAATGGAGGCAGAAGATGTCTTTCAGTCATCAATGCTCACATTCAGCTACACACAGGAGCTCTTTCAAGCTGGGCACCGTTTCATTCACAACACCTGTCCCATCAACCAGGAATCAGAATCAGAAATACTTTAATAATCCCGTGGAGAAATTAATTTAGTTACATGAAACCATCTGTAATAGAGTGACTATAGGACCAGTTTGAGGTAACACTATTTCATACAATATATATAATTAGGGGGTCCCCGCTCCATCTCACCATCAGTTTGGGGGTCCTTGGCCTGGAAAACATGAAGATCCTGATTTAGTATATTAAGTGAACCACAAAGCCAAGGTTTCAAATTGCTGATCTTAATGATGAACTTTGGTCATATGTTAATACGCCAGAGGCTTAAAGCTGACAGCAGTTTCTAAATAAATGTTAAAGAGCCTAATCATCATAAGAAATTGATTTAAAAAAGTTCTACCAACATTGATCTGAAAAGTAATATTTCTGTTATAAGTGTAGTACGGAAGCCCAGAGCGGTCATGTCCCTCCGATACTTTCTCATCATGGTAATCTCGAGAAAACAAGATAATTTTCTCATTATCTAAAGATAACGAAAGTAATTTTCTCGTCATAACGAGATGATTGGTGTGTGTTAAAACTGATTACATTCTTCAATATCAGGATTTAAAAGTCATGGTGTAATCCTGTAAATATCCCTTTGTTTAAGGAATATATATTAAAAATCTGAAGTCTGTTATTGAAGAGGATTATTGCACAGGATATTGCATAAGTATTTATATAAATATGTATTTATATATATATATAGTTATTGCATGGGGTATTAAATATAAATAGGTTACTGCACAGGGTGTTAAATAGTCATTGCACATTAGTTATTGCTCAACTTATTGCAGTTATAGTGCCACATTGTAAAGTCTGATGGCAGCAGAGATGAATGATCTGCTGTAGCGCTCCTTTTACAAACATGGAGTATCTGTCTTTCTCTAAAGGAGCTGCTCAGCTCCTCTACAGTCTGGTGCAGGGAAACCCTTCCCACAGCCACTTCCTCCCCAGAGCGAGGGGTGCAGGAGTGACGCACTAGTAATAACAGCAATGAGAAACAGCCCCACAGCTTGATGCTGCCTACACCATGCTTGATGGTAAAGACTGATTAGATTCAAAGCCTCAACTCGACTCCTTCCATCAGTATTTATTGTAAGTGTGTATGTTCAAAAAGCTCAAATGTGTCAGGAAAAGGATCCAATTTTTCAAAGTTATATGAAAGAACATTGCAATCCACGAACTGCCCAGGTGGATGGAAACGATGAGGCAGAAAGAAGTTGAATACAATTGCTTGTCCAGTGTTAACAAGAATATTTACCAGTACAGGAGGTGGGAGCTGCACTCTGAGGTAATAAGATCGAGCCAATGAGCCCAAAACACACATCAAAACTAGGAAACCCTATAGTTAGTGGCTAATGGTTTGATCTAAATTCCTCTGAGTGTTGCTCCCTGGCTCCTATCCCTTCACCTTTAGCAGGGTTAACAGTAAGAAACCTATCCAAAGTAAAAAAAACGAGCTCAGCCCTCGACGTGATTATGAGACGATCACACACTGTTCATATTAGTACTACAGCCTTGCAGAGAAGAACTGCAAAGAACAAAAGTTACACAGATGCAACAGCTAAATAACTCCATCATAAAACCCTAAAACATATGAAGATATGAACATTAACGTTTTTCACACAGAGTTCGCATGAGGAAATTATTTATTTTAGTAAAACTTAATGAGTTGGGCTATCTGTTTGTCATGTCACGCAAAGGATTATGGGAAACCTTATAGCTCCTAGCAGTGTCTTGGAATCTTAGCAGGTCTTTATGCAAACTAAATTGGCACTAGAAAGCATCCTGCTCCCTCGTCCTACCTCCTTCCTAACTGCCAGTACTATTCAGATAGCTCTTATTATGGCGAACACTGATGTACTTCCACCATGGCTTAAGTGTCCTTATTGATTTGAGGCAGTTGATAAAGCCAATGAACACTAAACACATGTCACAACTGCTTTTTCAAAGCATGTTGATGGGTACACAAACCTTTGTTTGCTAAAGAACTTAAGTCCAAGTATAAAAGGGGATGTATGTATATGTCTAAACTTTTTTGTATTGGTCAAACCATGTTTTCGATGACAACATATATAAAAAGGTCAAAAAAGTAAGTTCAGAATTCTTTTTTTATATATATATAAAATTGCATATTGTCTAATTGTTTGATTATGGAAAATTTTATAGCTAAAAAAATCAGTCACACTAATGAGGGATTCTAAGTTGTGTTAGACAGAGAATGGTGTAAAGGTGGTATTATTGTACTATACAAATTTGAAACACA